GAAAATGCGCCTTGCGGGTGGGGAGAAGTTGGAGGATACGCAGCTAAAGAAGATTCAGACCGAGGAATCGGTACGCAAGGAGCTGGAATCGCTGGGTTTCAATGGATAAAGGTGCGATGGAGCCCCTAGATTAGTGAATCACGCGAACACCTTGGATAAGATTCACACTGGTTGGCTTATTGGTTCTGAGTGTAAATATAGTCTAGTGGCTGATCTTGCTTTGTTCCGATTCTTTCTATCATCTGATGTCTATCTATGGCGTTCTATCCACCCCTACGAGGGGAGCTAGGGTATTTGTACTGTATATACATTGGATGAGTGAAAAGACCATGAATCATGGGCAACACAAAAATAAAACGAGAACATGTCCCGGCAGCCGTCTCAATGACCGTCCGTAATCCCTTTTTCCACTTCCAACTGTTGCCTCTGCCTATTCACTTCCCACCACCAACGACTTGGTTCATCCATCCCATCACCGGGATCTTCATGCCAGGGCTTCTTAGCAAAGATGTAATGCACATTCTTCACCTCTTCATCCCTCCAGATGGCGTCGTGCACTCCAACCCACCGTAACGTTTTCAGCGCATTATACACATACGGCAATGCCACCCATCGATTCCGAAACACGTCCGACAAGAGTTCCTGATCTGGAAAATCATATTTATCTGTGCGATCGGACATGTGAAGGCCAGCCTGGATCTCCGCCCAGGCCGATATGCTAGGACGTACGACTAAGAGGCCACTATTCAGCATGGCAACACCAGCCGCGGCAGGACTGCCGGATGTCTGCGCTTGGACGGGATCCGAATGCTGGCTTGTGTAGGCACAGTTCTTGGGTATCCTGTTATGCATACATCACATCGGTATCAACGTCATGCGATCCCATCATTTTAGAATTTGGGAACTTGAAAATATAGAAAAGAGCGCATGGAACGCGCGCGCGAGAGGGAGGATGGATTGCACATACCACGTCTTGGGATAATGCGGCTTGCTTAACGGATTACAGGCGCACGCATGACTCGCTGCGAATACTCTCTCCTGCTTGTTCCCCGCGCTGCCCAATCCTGAACCCGGCGCGTCCAGTGGCAGGTCCATCAGCTCATCCATGTTCTTTCGCACCAGCATATCTCCGTCTAGTAGGATGATGCGGTCGTACTCCACCAGCGAGAATACAATCAATTTGTTCCATGTTTCGTTGAAGCGTGGATCCTGGAGGAAGACTCTGCTCTGGCCTGGTTGTACGCTGGGGACGGCTTGGGTGCGGATTCCGCGCGCATGAAGCGCTACTAGGCCTTCGACGGGGAATGTGGAGGTGTAGAATGCGATGAAGGGGTAGGCTGTTTCGGTGGTTTGGAGGGAGTGTGCAAGGGTTAGGATGCCGGGGAGGTAGGAGAGGTTGGTTATCAGGGAGGCCCAGACTTTCTCTATTGTAATTGGGGGGTTAGTTTAGATGTAACATTTATCAGGGGAAATACGGCGTGTTGGTGAGGGGATCCATTGAGGGCTTACTTACCACGGTTCGGTTGTTGTTGGGCCATGATGATGAAGGATTGAACGTTGATAGTGGGTTCAATTGCGGGGTATTTCAGTCTGGATAGAGTACATTTTAGTGAGGGTAAACTCTGGCTGGCAACGATGATCTTCGTGGGGTTCTTCAGTTATCGGGATTTAATTAAATTAATCTTATCAGTGACAGAGGTGGTTAGTCATCCGATCCGATCTTATCTCTCCGCCTTTACAGATGTATATACATATGTATGTACATCATGTACATCCACCCACAACAGTTGTTTATCTGAACTTTACAATCTACGCTTGTAAAAATTAAAAATAATACAAAAATGTACCCATTCACTTCCCAGGTTTCTTTTCTTTTACCGCCCCCCATCAGTTGGTCTGGCTGTTGTCCCGTCTCCGATACCGAAACTGATGTGGAGCCGTCCAGAACAATGTCTGTATCACTTAACAGGCATTGGCCGTGCCAAAAGCAGGACAGATCAGTCACTGTATAGGTCGACAAGAAGAAAACAGTCAACCCAGACCGTACTGGTGGGAGAGTGGTGACCGAAGAAATGCCACCGTTGGAAACCGAAATCCAGCGTACTGGTTGGATGGGATTGGCCGGAGGCCTCTTGATATATCGCAGCTGATACAGAGCTTATCCTTTCTTTGAGGAAAGGATTTCAAGGCATGGCACTCGCCTTGCGCTCCACCTTGCAGCGCGAATCCCCTTGATATGATATCAAAAATGATATCAAAAAACCGGGGGAGGGGGGGAGAGAGTGGCAGATGAACTGTTGATATGTTCAATTGGGTATCGTTAATGTGCATGAGTAACCATATCTAATTTTGCAGCTTTTCATATAGCACAGTAGACGTGTATCCAGTCTTAGGCAAGGGTCGTTAACCTGGCAATGTTGAGCCTGCTTATGCGTCAATATCTTTATCAGTCGATGTGTGAAAGCATGTGTTCAACAAGTTCCAACTTAGTTGGCGCAGCGAATCAGCTCCGAACAGGATATTCAATGAATAACGCGATACAGAACGAACTCATAACCACCAACGAGGGATTTACGGTTGTATAAGACATAGGTTCGTACTCTTTAAGAGCTAGGTTCCACCAGCGTGAAGCATTCTTTGTTCAAGTGAAGATACGCGCCCGCTTAATAGGACTCCCCATTCGGAGGGATTGATTACTGCTGGCCATCCCACTCAGTAGTCGATCCATTCCTTCCACGTCAAGTTCACCACGCCGAAGCATTAGCTGATCAGTTTCTGCGGTCGGCGTCTCGTCCATCGATCCTAGAAGCGCAGGAGACTCATCCGGTTCATTAAGTCTCGGAGTGAGGACTATGATACGGTGTTCTGCAATGAGAAGAGTATCATGGTCTCCACCTTCAGCTTGGCGAGTCTGGCGAGAAGCGGCAGGAAGGTGACCAATGCCTTTTAGATGTTCCCCCATTAAAGTGATATCTTGGATGGCGGAAACTCGGCAGCGGTTAGACGCATCAAAGGTTCCGGTTGCTTTTACAGCATTCCGCCACAAGGACAGCAGACTTGGGATGACAGCGCTCTGGTTGCCGTGTCGCAACAGAATCGACTCGTCAGGTAGGGTATCACGGTATGAATTGGTCTGATAGACGGAGATTTCTCCGCACAAAGATGGGGTAATTGCCCCAACCATGGCACCCTTTAGCAAAGTATCTTCACGCACACGCTTAGTATGTGGTGTCAGGGGGGCGAATTTAGGACGTTGTTCTGCGATAGGCCCGCTTGTTTCAGCTCGGGCTCCTGACAGCGGACCCAAAATCCGTCCACTGACAGAAAATGAAGTCAAGGATCCACCAGTTACACCCTGCACACTGGATTGGCGCTGGAGTGGGCCCTTCACGGTTCCTGGGCCTGCCCCTTCGAGATCCCACACTCCCCATTCACCATCCGCCATGAGAACCATAATGGCCCGTCCACCAAGCACCCATTCTGCGTTAACTATAGTTTTACGCCGGGGAAGCCCTGAGGGGGACTGCTCAAACCCGGGATAGAGACTGATCAGCCACTTCCCCTCTGTTTCCGACGTGTCGAAATCATTTTGAGGACTGGATGACCTGTGCGATGCTTTATATGGTTTTGTGGAGAAACATGAGTAGACTTTGACACATCCGCTATGAAAGGCGACGAGTAGTGTCGAGTGTCGTGGTGACGGATATGGTGATGGGTTGAAGGCGATGTTTTGGGCTGGGGCCGGCAGATAACGGCGCTTTGACTCGATATCATCTTCACCTAAACGGTACAGTACTTTGTTGCGATCTGTCTCTTCCACAACCGGGATCCGATGTATTATAAGTAGGCCCGACGACTCCGCAGAATGAGTGGCGACAAGAAGGTCCCACCTCCCTGGCGCATTGCCATTAGATCCACTTTGGCTTCGAGACATGTCCTTATCTCCCTGTTGCTCACTCGCTTGATATGTGAAAGCAATTCCCACCCCCCTTGGGATCTCTTGGTGTGATACTCCGCCGCTAATCGACAACGCCTGGACCCACGAGGAGACCTCGAATTGAGCAGGGTGAGGAGGAGCCAAGGGTAGTGTCAAAACTCGGGTGGAAAGATCAGCGCACACGGCCGAGATGACCATACGTTTCTTCAGAATGGGCGGGAAAGGATCGAGCGATGAACGCGCGGTCTCAGGGAGAACGCGAGGGACAGCCAATTCAACGACCCTGGTCCCAAGGGGTATATCGATCTGACGCAGCACAGTTTCGTATGGGAAGAGGGGGTCAATTTCCGGCTCATCTTCTTCAAACCCATAAATTGGTTCTTCGTTTTTCTGGGGTTCGGCAGAGCTCTCATCATCAGAATCAACGATCATGATGGAGTCGTCGTTGCTCCGGTTGGTTTTCTCTTGCGGTTGGTCCTTAGGCGCTGACGGCTTCTTGTTTGTAAATGGTCTTCCGCCTCTCCAAATTACCTTCAACCCGTTTTCATAGCCATAGATTATAATTGATGAGCCATTCGGGGCGAGGACAGGGTAGCCCTTGGCGGTGTAGACGCGATGAGGAAGTTGGTAGCTACATGAAAAGAGTACTGTAAGTGTTGATCGTCTAGTTGAATAAAAGGAATCTTTTCACCTTAGTTGCAGGCCGTCATCTCTGGGCCGGGCCAAAGGCCTAGAGGGGAAGGATGGCATGGTGCTTGATATGATATGCGATCGAGATCTTTGTCGGACTGAGCTTCCAAGGGCGAGCTCGAACTCGTCCGCACGGCAATGTATGGGAAAAGTCAACTCTTAAGTTTAATAAGTGAATCACGGACAATAGTAGGTAAGATTACACTCAAGTTTAGCCAAGCCAAAAGGATGATGGACTCAAGGTGGAGGAAAGATGAAGTTGTTGTGGTGTGTTGCGGAGTGAAAAAAAGCAGCTGATTCAAGAAATGGTTCTGAAAGCTCCGCCGCGTCCAGCGCGTCACCCACCAGCCATTTTCCACGCTGCACGTTGAGAGTTGACACAACGCTCGGTTTGACACCAGCTCACTCGTATTTGACAGTGCTGATGGGCAATGAACATGTACTCGCTCCTGGCTGCCATTGCCAGTGATTCTACCACGACATCTATTTATTCGTGCCGATAATGGCTACTGTCCGATCCCTTGGCCTCCACCAACCTTCGGCCATACCTTTCCTTGCTGCAGAGGGCCTACTACCCCCCGACCCGTCCAACGATCACTATGCGTGGGCATCTAGCGTCGATATAGGTCCAAATGGCCCGGTTGAGGATGAGATCGTCTGGACGAAAGGCTGTGTGGTCTGGTCTAGAGCTGGGGTTGTGCAGAGGGTGTACCGGCTGGATCTCGAAAAGGAGGAAGTTAGGCATGCGCTTCTGACAAATTTCTCAGTCGGCCAGGTTAAAAAAGCCAAGAGCAATGCTTCGCAAGCGACTAAGGAAGGCCTTTCCCGAACGAGCAATGACCCTGGTCGGAGTCGTGGTTTACATGGCCAACAGAATGGGGAAGAATCGAGACTGGAAGCCTCCGGCGTGACCTTAAATATACGTGGTAGAGGTACCCAAGGAGTCAATGACTCTGACTCGACCAGAGCGTTGGTTGTGGTCCTCAAGTCTCAAGCCCATATCTTCTTCCTAGCTGGAAACAGCCACGTCGTTCCGCTGCCCTTTGAGGTGGATTCAATATTCGCGACCCCGAAGGGTCTTTTATTTCAGAGAAAAATGTACGAGGAGGACAATAAGGACACGAGTCTCTGCCCAATGGCGCCTCCAAACTCATTTATGTCAACCTTGCCTGCGACAGTGGACTTCCGTGCATCACAGTCTCTAGAAGTCCCTTCCAGCAAGGGAAAAAGGCCGTCATTGACGGTATCTCCTGCTCCGGACACTAGTTCGAGATCACCGCGTAAGCAGCCCGACTTACCTAGAGTGTTCTCCCTCATGGACCCGTATTCTGAGATGGGCCTTGTTGTGACGAACCAGACCTCTCGCTTTTTACAAAGTAGTGTTACCAGCAGACCTTCTGGGCTGGATGTTCTGAGTGCAGCGGATGAGATCATATATGTCTCCCCCAGGGATGAGCTCTTAGAGTCTAATAGGAATCTGATTAGCGGCCCTCTAATTTTCGTGGTGACCGTCAATGTTAATACTGGGCTGTACACTGTTTGGACAGCACGTTACAGGGAAGATGAAGCCAACCCCTCGTCTAAAAAGAGGGGACGACGCGAGACAAGTGGTACCTGGTCAAAGCGACGTAGCTCACATTTTGGAATGGCAACGGGAACAACGACTCCTGGAGCTCGTCCATCCGCTGCTAGAGAGAGCTTTGGTCCTAGGGGCGATAACTGGAATACACCAGGCCTGGCTCATTCCCAGTACTCTACTGATGGAAAGCCAGATGAAGAAGATCTTGCTTCTAAGTTAGGCCAAGATTTTGGTGATATTGGAGTTCCCCTCAAGACTTCTCGACGGGTTAGCTCTCTACTTGCTCGAGCCGATCTTGCAACTGGCCAGGATAGGATTACCTTTTCAGACCTTGCTACAGGAAGCCAATCGAGTTCCATGCCGCATGGAAACCTCCGACAGTCAATAGGTGCTGCAAGCAGTCGCGGAAGCTTCGGCTTTAATCCTAGAGCTTCTCTACCGCCAGGAAATGGCTCGGTTCATAGTACTACTACCAGCTTCGCGGATGCTCCAGTTGACAGGCTTCTGGAGGAGCTTAACAGTGAAAGTTTATTTGAAGGGCTTGATAACATGGATCTTAAAGAATCAGCATCAGGCCTTCCGGAGGAAGTTCTATTGTCAAAGGTTGAGAGCTTCTCCTCTAAGTTCTCAGAAAACTTCCAGGCTCCAGCCAAGTCAAGGTCATCCCGAAAGTCGAAAATCATTACAGTGTGCCCCTTAGAAGGTGCGAGCTCGCAGAACGGAAACTCGGCGGCTTTAGCTCTTTGTGTTGTTGAACAGGCCGCAAAGTCCATGACTGTCGTAAATCTACGAGCGGACAGGGTCTCTATTCCGAAGAAAGATTCGGTATTTTCTAAGAGAATCAAGAAAAGGAAAACCCCTGATGAGCGTTCGCTACTCGTCCAGGCGACTAGCGTACAGCACTTCTCAGGCATAAGTGATGCTTGTAAGATCACTGATGGAGAGATCTCACGAATCATGACCTTGAGCATGGCAGATGACGGACAGCATGAGCTGCTTTTACAAACTCCCTGGAGCAGACCAATCACTGTTGATGTGCCGAAAAAACTTACGTTATATGAGCCGTACGGGATTTCTGCTACTACGTCTGTAAACCGCCCAAGAGAGAGCGGTATGAATAGGCTTATGACTGATTCATTCACAATCACCGGCCTAGATCACGCTACCATTCGAGGGAGAGTTGACCTGATTGACTCTGAAAAGCGGAAGCATAGGCTACAAATCCAGATGGAACCTAGCAATGAACTTGTGAAGAATGTCTTCAGAATCTGTCGATTTGTCTTGCCGGACTCAGAGAAAGCCGGTGACGGAATATTAACGGCCTGGTGGGAAACAATGAGATGGCTTCGCGGAAGGGAAACCACCGAAAGCGACCTCGAGTGGACCGCGATGGTAGTGGTATTGTTCGCCATGGCAATTCCTTTCATCGACCCTGACCACTCGCGGATGCCTGCACAGCGCAGACGTAGAAAGAAAGCCCTGTTACGCTCAAGTAGCGGAAGCCACGTAGACTTGGAGAGCTGGGAAACGATGTTAGACCAAGAGTCAGGATCTGCCGGTGTTGTGCCATCATGGAGAAATAACAGCGCTTGGGGGTGGATCGTCGATGAAGATGCTGAAGAAGAACGCAATGCTCCCTCCAGGAGAAAGTCTGTGAAGGTTGAGCAGACAGGCTCCAGCCGGTTAACACACCGCAAGAATTCCTACTTGCTACGATGTGCAGCTTTGACTCGCGAATTCTTGCAGACCCCCATGGGTATTGCGGCTGTAGGCTCAGATGGTCATCTTCCAACAGCGCTCTCTTATAGTCAAAACCTACGACAGACTGCCCTGTGCACGATACTGGTCGGACTACATCTCCTTCGAGAAGAGCAAAAGTTGTCGATCTGCGAAAGTGAGGAGTCCCGCAAAACCTCGGGCCTCCTCGCTCCGGTCTTAGCCCAAATCGGAGGGTGGTTAGGATGGAAGTCCTGGACTTGGTCTGAACATGCCTATTATGGCTTGGAGATTGCAAGCATCAATCGCTGGCAGTTCGAAGATACGCGGATTTCAATGCTGGATGTACCCCAGGAGCAATTTCCGCCCCCTTCAGTCTTCAGCTACCTGGAGACTGGATGGCGTCAGTCCTCTTCTCCCTTTTTCACTCTGCTAAATCTGGTAACGGGATCAGAGTACACTCCGAGGAAGGGGAGGATGTGGCAAGAATGCTTTATGCTCACGCCAAGGACATTGGCATTGGACGGTTTCTTCTCCGAAGTACATAACATCTCAACGCCTCTCGATCGGATAAAGCTTCTTCACCGCTGGGGCTTCACCAGAAGTATTATTGAGACATTTCCAGAGGGCGTCAGTACACCTTTGTACGAAGCTATTATGCGATCTCAAATACATGCCTCAACGTCTTGGAGCTCGACGCTTCTAGAGTTGGTAGATCGCGAAGATCTCAGCATATCGATGCGTACTTATAACCCATGCACTCCATCTGCATGGCAGCCTGCCGTGTCACATGAAGCGATGCGCGACGTTCACCATATCGGTGTTTCCGCCTTGGACATCGATGCAATCAACTCTTTCGAAGCATCTGCCGAGGCGGATAGATTTTCTGTGACCAAACTGATCTTCCGCGAGGACAAACGGTTCATTGAAGCTGCTAGACTGTTGAATCAATCCAAAGCTCCTGTAGCAGAATGTGTCCCGGAGCCCGATTGGAACGATTCGGATTTACTGGAGGCACAGAAAGAAGTGGTTCAACTTGTTACGCTTCGAACGTTGTCCATCCCTACCGGGCGAGCTATGCTGGCATTCAGTGGGCGGCTGCCTTTATTAACTGAGAAGCTCCCAATTCCTTCATTCTCGCTTCAGTGTGTCATGAAACCATCGAATGTAACGATAAGTGCGGATCGGACCTCTTTTAGTGAAGAGAAGGTTTGCTGGGCTTTCTTCCATAATGGCGTTTCTACGGGTCTCGCAATATCCAAGAATTCCAAGGGTATCGATACCTCGTGGATTCTTTTCAACAAGCCGCAGGAGCTTACAAATCGGCACGCTGGCTTCTTGTTGGCCCTGGGTCTCAATGGGCACTTAAAGTCTTTAGCGAAGTGGGTAGCTTTTAAGTACTTGACACCCAAGCATACAATGACCTCTATAGGTCTATTACTGGGTCTATCAGCATCGTACCTAGGCACGATGGACACGTTAATCACCCGTCTCTTGTCTGTTCATGTGACGAGAATGCTTCCTCTTGGTGCCGCCGAGCTGAACCTGTCGCCGCTAACCCAAACTGCGGGTATCATGGGGATTGGCTTACTGTATTGTGGCTCCCAGCACCGAAGAATGAGCGAAGTGATGTTATCTGAGATTGAGAACGTGGATCAGGACGAAAGCTCCGCGGGGCAAGAGGATTTGCGTGACGAAGGGTACCGCTTAGCTGCCGGATTCGCGCTCGGGTTTATAAACCTAGCAAAAGGAAAAGATCTACGAGGAATGCGGGACATGCATATTGTGGAAAGACTATTAACTGTGGCGGTTGGGACGAAGAACGTTGACTTGGCGCATGTTCTTGACCGTGCCACTGCCGGTGCAACGATCGCCCTGGCGATTATATTCATGAAGACGAATGACGAAACTCTGGCCCAGAAGATCAATATCCCTGACACAACAGTACGCTACGACTATGTCCGACCAGATTTGTTCCTGCTCCGTACACTTGCCAGGCATGTCATTATGTGGGACAATATCCAGCCTAGTGACGAATGGTTTGTTCAAAGCCTCCCAGGGATCTACCGCCGCCGATACCGTCTGACGGGCATTCGTCGACTGAAAAGCGAAGATATGCCGTTTTTCAACATCATTGCCGGCCTTTGCTTTACGCTTGGGCTCCGCTATGCTGGCTCTGCCCAGACGGCGGTGCGTGATATTCTACTCTCATATCTTGACCAGTTTATCCGCATCTGCAGACTTCCCGCTGTTAACTACGACGGAAAGCTTTCAAGGAATTCCGTCCGCCACTGCCAGGACGTTGTGGCCCTCTCGGCGGCAACGGTAATGGCAGGAACGGGGGACCTGGCGTTGTTTCGGCGCTTACGCTCCCTGCATGGGCGTGTGGATACTGATACACCATATGGTAGTCATATGGCAGCACATATGGCGATCGGGTTGCTTTTCTTGGGAGGAGGCAGTTATACACTCGGCACATCAGACCTGGCCATAGCGTCGCTCATCTGTTCTCTATACCCGGTCTTTCCGACATCAGTACTTGACAACAAATGTCACTTGCAAGCATTCCGGCATTTATGGGTTCTCGCGGCCGAGCCGCGCTGCTTCGTGCCGCGTGACATAGATTCTGGCCGACCCATATCCATGCCGATTATAGTGACAAACATTGGCGGCAGTACCCGGAAGATTACCGCGCCCTGCCTCCTCCCCGAACTGGGGTCTGTCGCTAAGGTGGAAGTACGCAGTGCCGATTACTGGCCCCTGGTTCTAGACTTTACACTTAACTCTGCTCTCCGAGAGAAATTCCGACACGGTGACCAGTCAGTGTATCTACGACGGAAAGCGACGTATAACCCAACCGGCTCGTCTGCCTTTGTTTCGACATTATCAGGGCTCAGTGAAGCACAGGATGTCCTTTCCTCGTCTACATCCGCGTCAAACCATGGCAAGGGACTACCACCGGCGGCGTGGCCGAACATCGCTACACTACTCTCCGGCACTACCCCTCCCACTCCTCCGTCGTCGCAGTCGCAGAGTATATGGGAATGGGTATTTAAGCTCAAGTCGCTGCAGGGACTAGATGTGCGAGAAAAGGCACTTGTCTTACCATCATCATTCCCAACACACATACGCACCCCAAGCACCAATGTCATTTCATATGCGCCATGGTTACGGCAGTCGGCGGTTGACAGCAAGCTTGTGGTTGAGAACATTGTGCAGAATCTTGCGCAAATTCATCCTGACGAGATTCGCGACCGCTTATGGCAACTGCGGCTTCTGTTCAATTGGGTCGACTCTTGTTCCGACAAACGGGTACAGGAAATCGAAGAAGTTGAAACATCAGATGATGCAACCCCAAGGATATCTGGCCAATCGCAGGGACTTTGGCTACGGCAAGATTTCGTGGAAGAGGCGCGCTGGAAGGTCTGGGGCGTTCAGACTGGTGATTATGCTTAATGCAGTATGCTCTGTAATGCTTGGTTATGTTGTTATGCATGATATGATTCGGGACCTGAATAGTTGTAGGAGTCGTCTCTCTCCTTGTCTTTTCTGTTTACCCCATTTACGTTATTGCTTCTCGTCAGGGTCGATATTTCTTTATACCGTCTCGTCAGGAGTACTATAGATTACAATATCCGAAGCCATAAGACCACCGAGCGTCATATCTGGGTCAATCCAATTATTTTTGTTCATTATGTCTTCATATCATGAGTCACTGTGTGCCGGTGCAGTTACACATGTGGCCATTCCTCCTCTTCTTTTGTCCTATATATAAAGAAACGAAAAAGGGCTATTTCCTTTCAGTTTCCCCCTTTCCCGCGAAAGATATCAAGGAGGCTATTGAGACCTAACGGCCCCTTCTTTTAAAACCCCTCGATCTCCAGCACCGCCCATCTGCCAAAGCCATACGCCCTCGACAGCCCATGCAGTAGCACTGGCATGATGACCAACGCCTCCCTTAGACCTCGCCGGATCCTGCCCCTGTTTTCCTGTTCCGTAATCTTTGTCTGAGCGAGTTGCTCCAGTTGACGTACCATCGGCTTCGGCTAGCATGCCAGCGACCACACCCTCGCGTTCAATGACAGACCACAATCCCTCTACCAATGTACTCCCGCGTTCTCCAAACTGACCTTTCCCGAGACGGAAGAGGATACGACCCAGAACCTGCCAGGCAATACACCGTTGAGCAGGAAAGGAGGAGCGGCTAAGGATGGCTAGCTCGGGTATGGTGTAACCAGCGGCATGGGGGTCTTTACCATGATGGTGAAGACCTAAATTAGTCGGGAGAGCAAGTGATGTGGTAGGTGAGAGCAGTGTCCCGAGGAAAGAAAAGCGGAGCGCGGCGGGGTGGACGGCTTCTGCATTGCTGGCAGGATGATAGGCGGATGTCGCATCTGGTGCATCCGAGTCTGCGGAAGGCGGCTGAAGCCAGGTCAAAGCGGACAGGTCGTGGGTGATGTTGGGAAAATAGTGGGCTTGAAGGTCAGATAAAAACGACGGGGATGACGGGTCAAGGTTAGGCATGGGGTTCAACTGTGAGGGCGGAGTGGGGAAGTGAACGGAGCTGGGAAGAGGGGATTCAGAGACAGGTCGGAGATCATCAGGCATTTGCGCAGGGGGAAGGTCATCTCGATGAGTTTGTTCGTCTCGAGAGGTTGAAGGCTTGGATTCGGAAACAGACTCGAGCGGAGGAGCTGCTGCTTCGGCGGGGTCTACCTGATGTTTAATGGATACAGATGGATTCGACCGAGTGTCAGTCTTGGACTCCTCGGAGTCAATACGGGCTCTGCGAAGGAACCGTTCAAGTAACGAGGGATCTATGGATGCCATGAGCTCCTCTCGTTCTCGTTGGATCTGATCATGCGACATGGACGCTAACTGCCGACGGTTTTCATCGTCGATCATCCTTTTTTCGTCATTCTGACCAGCAATTGCAGTGGTTGAGTTGGAAGAGTCTTCTCGACGTTGTTTAAAAGCGGACTGCTTCACGCGACGACGATGAGCCGGAAATCCAGCTGTAGCAGGTTTGGGTGGAGCTGGAGCGGCAGCGGGTGAGCGTTCGCGGATTTCGCCGATCAGACCAGGAAGGGAGATGGAGGAAGCAGGGGGTGCAGATGAGGACTGATCATCATCAGAATCTAGATCAACAACAAATCTTTCACCGCGAAATGCCATGGTCACGTTGATGAAGATGGAAGGCTTGATTGATTATCGGAGATAAAGAAAACGGCATCGAGCTAAAATTAAATCGGGAACTGCATGAAGGATGAGTCAGCATGCGGCTCAAAAGCTAAATGATAAGGCGCTAGACTTATATAGGAATAGCGTATCACCTGATAGCCTTTCCGGATTGGGGAACGCACGTCCGATCATCTGATTTGAATCTGGAGTATAAGTTCAAGAAGATCCATCAATATCTCATCAAATCTCTTCTTGTCGGTTCGATCCGAGAGGGTTATATCCCTATATTATTGTTATGGGGATGGTATTTACTACAAACTTTACAATTGAATCTCACGGTTATATATTTATATTTAGATATAGAGAGAGACAGAGAGGCGAGGGAAATACCTATAAAGAACCTATCCTATCCCATGGAGTTTGGGTCGATTTCTGCCACTCGTATCATAATTAATTAAAAAATAAAAATAAATAAAAAATAAATAAATAAAAAAGACCAAGGTTAAATCAGAGGAACATCAGACCCCAAAAGTGCATCAACAGGTCAGAATGATTTTCGTTCTTTTCTCCTTCTCCTCCTCTTCCTCCTTTCCACCTCTCCACCTTTCTCATCCCTTTATCTCATCTTTTTGTTCCCATCCGGTGAAACCAAATCAGCTCAAGGTATTGATTGATCTATACTTCCTCCTTCTGTATATTGAAATTTCTTTTTAATTGTTCCTTTTCCCTCTTTTCCTATTTTTGGGTCTTTATCCCCCTCCCCTCCCCTTCCCTTCCCTTCCCTTCCCTTCTTACCCTATTAAGGATCTCTTGACTTTTATCCGTTCGTCTCTCTCTGCCCGAGAAGAAGAACAAGAGTCTCTCTCTCCTTTTCCCTTCGCGTTTCTTTTCGTGTTCCTCCTCTCCCATTCTACCAAAACCCTCCATCGTATTTTTCTTGTCTTTCGCCATCACCATCTCTCTCCATCCATTTTCCTTATCACCTTCATTTTATTTCATATTTCTATATCACATTTCCCATCTGATTCACATTTTCCGTGTCTTGTATTTTCTTCTTTTCTGGTTTCTTTTTTCTTTTTAATTTATTTATTTATTTATTTTTATCTTTTATCTTCCTCATTTCTTTTACATTGACAAAAGAGGAACAAGAAAATTAATTTATTGGCATCTAGATTCCCAACCCGGTTCAAGATTCTCCGACGACGCCGGTTGCTTCATCCTTGAGACTTCTCCTCTCGATGCTATCTCTCTAAATTTTCTCTACATCATGTCCACCGAGCCGGCCATACGGACGGCTCAGGACGATCTCGAGTCGCGCACCTCCATCGACCAAACTCCCCGCGAAACTCGTCCTAGACGGTCGCGTCGCAAGAAGGACGAGGGACAGGACGCTGGGCGAAAGGACACTCCTAAACCTAGCAAGTCAAAGACTAAAGAAAAGGAGAAAGAAAAAGAACCAGAGACGGGGAGGCAGAACGATAAGGAATTGGACAAAGAAAATCATAAGGATAAGGAGAGCAGGGATAAAGAGCAGGATCCAAAAGAGTCGAAACGCGGCAGTCGTCGCCAGAGGGACAAATCGTCATCCACGTCGGTCAATCCTTCCAATTCCTCTTCTACTCACGCTCGAAAGAAGCCTAAGTTGGAAGCAACGCCGTCAGATCAAAGCCCCAGTGTACCGGCGGCTTCTGCAGCAGCAGCAGCTTCCACTCCAGCGACGACTACTAGTACTGTCACGACTACTACTGTTACGACCGCTGTTCCTGCTACTACTCCTAGCGTCGCCCCAGCTGCAGCTCCAGCTCCAGCTCCAGCTCCAGCTCCAGCTCCAGTCCAAGTTCCAAGCACCCCCGCTGCTAGCCCTCCGGCGTCGTCAGGCTCAATTCACCTTGTCCAATCTCACTTGCACCAGCAACATCGTTCTCCATTGCACCCGTCCCCCTCACTGCCACCCTCATCTCATCCCACTCCGCCCCCCGCGGCCCTTGGTCATCCATCATCTTACCCGACGATGGCTCCCGCAGGACCTCCGCGGCCGCAGTCCCAGCCACCACCTCCCCCACCTACTAGGACCAGTGGTCAGAATTTCGACCCCATTCGGTCCGCCTTCGATACAGCTTCCCCGGCCCCAACACCGGGGCCGACATCGACCTTCAGTCCCCCGGCTCGCCCTCTTTCTCCACGCCCAACATTCCGCGCTAGCGCTTCACCTGCTATAGCCAGCATAATTGATCCTCCCACAACTACCTCCCCGTCCGTCTATGCTCCCCGTCCATATGCTTCTCCGAACCATGGCGCATCCATCTACTCCCCTTCCCCTGCGGCTACACCAGTCATCGCTCCCACGCCGCATCCGCCTCCTCAGCCGATCTCGCCTTACGCCCATCGATCGCCCTATCCCCCCCCTTCACAATTACAGCCATCGCACGATTCGCAGTCATCGGCTCACTCTTCGTCCCAAGGCCCGCCGCAACCCCTACCACCACGTCTATCAGCGGCACCTGAGCCTCCGGCGCCTACACCGTCTAATAATCATCGCGCGCCTTCACCCGGGCCTACCCCAATGGACGTAGATACGGATCAGCATGCGGCCCCCAAAGCACCAAAAAGGGATACCAAAGCTGCCCCCACTGCGCCTCCATCAAACGCTGCGTCACCAAAGCCTTCTCGTGCGACCAAGGAGCCACCGCCACCATTGCCTCAAGGCTCAGGACTGATCTCCAATGCCTTGTTTGGTGTGGGCGACGCCGCACCAACCAGCGATTCCGATTCTAGGCGAACGCCCAGTATTATAATACACATTCCATTGCAAGGAACCGGCAACAGGATTGTCAACTTTGCGCGCTTGGCCGAAGAACAATACGGCTTTGCCGCTTTACATCCTCGCCTTGCGGCTCACAAGGAACGACTCGCCCGTGTAGCCGCAGCAGGTGCTGCACTAGAACGAAATGATAAGTCCGGCCGGGGACTCTCAGCTGGGGAGAGTGCTGATGAAGATCTCAGTCTCGAAGTTGAGCGTGACAGTGACTTGGATGGAGACAGTGCGTTGGGCGGTGCAGCAGCTCGCACAAACGGGCCTGAGGCTCCAGATGGGAAAAAGAAGCGTCGCAAGAAGAAGATGGAAGAATATGACCGGGACGATCCGTTTGTCGACGATAGTGAGCTGGCCTGGCAGGAACAGGCCGCGGCCAGCAAGGACGGCTTCTTCGTATATAGTGGTCCTCTGGTGCCTGAGGGCGAAAAGGTGCAAGTAGAACGGTGAGTTACCTCTTATGGTATATACGTCCGACCACAACCACTAACGCTTTGATTTAGGGCGGATGGTACAATAAAACGTGGCCGGGGGAGGGGTCGCGGCGGTCGCAGCCGAGGACCTCAGTCCGCTTCCCATCAAGCGCCACTGGCAGCTGCCGTCCCTATCTCCCAAGAAACCGGCCTCCCTGTACGAGGTCCCGGATCCCGGGGTGGTAGTACTACTCGTCGTCCGCGTACAAAGCCCAGGGCGGAGCAGGACAAATCAGGTGGCACATCGTCCACGTCTCAGGGGCGAGGAGGCGGCACCGCTGGCCGGGGAGGCTCGGCAAGCACTCGAGGGAAATCAACATCAATGGTGGAATTGGCACCACGCCCCAACTTGGCACCTACGCCCCCGGGACCCAGCCCGGTAGCAGGTTCTGAACTGGCGATGAAATAAAAAGTGGGCTTTAATCACTCTCCTCCTTTCTCCATGAAGTACGATCCATCGTCTAGGTATCCGGTTATGTGGTTTATTGCTTTCGTTGGCGTCACTGGACCTGGGTACAGAGGGATGATGAAAGGTTTATTGTAGAACGGTTGCTTCTGCTGCGAGGCTATTACTGTGCTTCTATTCGGTATTACATGCCTGTTATGTGTTTCTATCAGTGTGATTTCTAAGCTTTCTTTGTTCTCTTCCAAACTTCTTCATGGTTGGATGGTGTTTCTCCATTTCTGCATCATCTGGGGTGGTGTCTTTTCCTTTTATAATATCTCGTTAACGTGTCTGCCGCTCAATATGAGGCGAAACGAATATGTTTCTATTCCTGAAGGAAACCCGACGGAGGGGTTGGTTTGATTATGGCTACTATATTAGGTATACATGTGGCATCAGGTCAAGGATTATGCAAGATCTTGTCCAGCCATGAGGCTCAACCCATTCCGTGGATTGGAGTATTTCATTGCGAATAAGCGCAAGTATGTTTTTTGTAAAAGTCCCAACCCCAGGCTAAAATGGCCCCGGCGCCCATGGTGTGTTCTCATCACAAAAGAGTGGACGGTTGCTGTACATACACATAGGTGACACATGCAAGATCCATGAGCTTTGTTCCTTGCATCAACGGAATATTTGCTGAGTTGTCAAAGAATGAAACAAACAACACAGATGCAAGAGTGCCAGCTCGACATCCAGACAGAAATCAATGACAAAAGTATTTATACGTCGACATTAACAAAGAAAAAGGCATTGCTATCAAAACATATGCGACCAGCTCAGGAGGGAAAATAATGAACAGAATAGAAAAGGGAAAAAGTATAGACTCAGAAAATGCCAATGAATGAATATACGCCTTGCTGATGCAAAATCATAAGCAATATGGTCAAGCAAGCGATCAGTTGGGAGTTCGTCGTCTAAATAGTTCAACATTGAAACGTCAATGGACTTATTGACAACGAGACAAAGAGAAAGAAAAGGGTTGGGTTATTTTCAATGACAGTTGATTGAGAAAGGCCAATTTCCCGATCGAAAATGCGAGTCGATCGGCTGGTCTTGCTTGCAAAGAAGTCTATGATAAGATCTAACTCGTCTGAGAAAGCAACTGTGCACAGCTTCTGTTGTGTGATAATGATGCACTTAATTTACTTAGCGTTGCCATGGTGCTCCCGGTACCGGAGCCGGTGGTAAGGGCCCACTGGGAGGAGGAGCTGCACGAACAGGCATAGCTGATGTCTGAAGTGGCATTCTCGATTTCATGTTGTGCGAGCTCGCTGAGCGAGATGCGATATGCTGACGAGAGGGTGGCTCCAGGGCCGACACCGGGTCTCCTAAGTGCGCACGAGAGGGGCGGCGTCCCGTTCGATAATCATCATCCTTGGTTTCCAAAGAAAGATGCTCGAGTGAAATCGCGGGCGGAGATCTAGTCGACCGACTGGGGCGAGGAGATGGGTTCGGCGGTACGTGATAATGCCGGCTATGGGAAGACATTTCATTGACCATATTCACCGGGATCTCTCCAGACGTTGGCGTGTAATGTGGTGTGCGAGCCGACTTGCTAACTGCTGGCTTTGGAGCGGGGCTACGGCGCGGTGATTCTTCTTTCTCGTCCTTGAGAGACTTCGGCGGTGGAGGAGCTAGATAAGACTTTCGGTTATGTCGCTCCATCATGCTAATCGCCCATTCTTGAAGATCAACTGGTGTACGTTTAGCAGCCTGAAGGAACGCATCCTTGTCCTATTCTCGGAGTCAGCAAATTTGACTTCTATATAAGCGCACAGCATAAAGTGGTTATTACATATAATTCTCGGGGTGTTGGCCGTTCTTCGGATTTTTTAAGGAGGCATTTGGCCACAAACTCGTGTAGGATCGGGGGGAAAGCGTCGCTCTTTGGAAGCTTCGGAGCGGGTTCATGGACAATCTGTTGCAAAAGGTCCAAGATACCCATAGGGCCAGCACTAGCCCGGTCTCCTGCTGAAGAATCTGAGGTATCGAAGGGAAATCGACCCACAGCCAATTCCATGACCGTCAAGCCTACACTCCAAACATCCGAACGGACAGTATACGCGCCGCCTTGAATGCGCTCTGGTGCCATGTAGGTCGAAGTGCCAACAAAGGTGTCAGCGATCGAATTGACTGTCTCAGTGGCGACGCCGAAATCGCAAAGTTTAATATTTCCCCGCGAATTAACAAGGATGTTGGAAGGTTTGATATCACGGTGCATAATGCGATGCGCTTCATAGAGATACACAAGACCAGCCAGTATTGACTCTGTGATCTTGCCTAGGACATCCACTCGGACAGGACCGAAGTCTTTGGATATACGATCAAGAGAGCTAACGAGGAAAGCAGTTAGATACTTGACATTCACATAGGTATCTACGAAAACTCTTGTGCACTCACCCACAGTCCATGTATTCCATACACAGAACAATATCCCTGGCTTCATTTTGAAATGCTCCATAGAAGGTCACGATATTCGGAGAGTTGCAGTCATGGCCAACTTGAAGCTCTCGCAGTATCTGTTTTCGAACATTCTCTTTGGCATCTACACGGATAATCTATGATATGATCAGCGGGTCCCCGTAACGCTTAACATAACGGTTCACACCTTTCGGGCCATGACAACTTTAGTAGAAGCATGCATGACCTTGGAGACTGTACCGCCATTGCCCGCCCCTAGTTCTTTGAGGGTAATCAAATCCTCGCTGCGAAGATCAAGGCGGAACTCTAGCCCGATCTCCAGCGTATCAGTGCGGTTGCTGTCGGTATTTCCAATCGCACCGGGAACTTGGGCATCGCCATCGGACGGGTTGGAGAGGGGTTTGGGTGCTGCGTTCAAAGCGAGACCTTTGACATTTTTGCGTTTCAGCGTTCGAGCTTTAAATTGGTCGGCCATGGTTGGACGACAGAGTTACCCTGCCGCAATCACTGAAGGATGAATTGAGAGAAAGGGAATGAATGATTGTAAGAGCGCCTCTTGTCGATTGTCGGATTTAATCCTCGAATGTAGCTGGAAGGTAAGACTGCTCGTGAATGGCGAGAGGTAATTAATGATTATTCAGTGAGAATGTGAAATTGGAAAGAACATAAAAAGAAAAAAAAAATCCCCCCGTATATTGGCACTGAGGTGTGGACAAGCGCCGGTGTTTTTCAAGGCAGACAAGGTGGGGGATTCGACGTCGGTCTATACTAGGCTCGATTCGTTATCTCAACCCTGTGGATAATGTTGCGGGTAGAATAATGGTCTCCAAATATTTTTGAAGAATAGAAGAAGGGAATGTTTCAAAGGAAGAAAAAAATATAAAGGTCCTGCATGAAACGCCCAACTGAGGCGCTGACTATAAGTTGGGAGTTTCTGTTCGGGTGGAGGAGGAAGAAGACAGTGTTAGAGAGTGAGTCTGGATCCCCACCAGGAACAAGCGCGCGGGTCTCACTCCGGACAAAAGAAACCCTACGTACTTGGTACTAAGTACGGGCTATGTGTATTAGAGGTAAGTATGTACTAATACGAGGAGGGACCCCTTACCAGAAGAAAATAAAGTTAGAAAGACAAAAAGAAAAAGGAAACAGGAAGAAAGACGGAATTTAGTAGGAATATACAGTCCAATTAACTATAGAACTAGGAAGTTGCTTATTTCATTGATATATCTTTGATAATCCTCCGTTCCCATTTATCTGAAGCTGCGGGCCCCTTTATTTATAGTTATTCTACGCAACCCCATCGTGGACGCTGATGTTCAAACCACGTTCGTTCGTACCCTAAGTATATATCCAGTTAGCCTACGTCTTAACATTAACCCCATATCCCATTTCGTCTCCCAATTTAATGTAAAACCTCAGGGTGCGGGGCCACTATTCATCGGCTCAAGAAGCATTATAGGACAAAGAAGACGCAATGATAAGACAGTACTTACATGTTATCACATGCCTGTACTTGTCTCGAGATGAATTAAGTAGTACTTCCTTCTCAACCGGATTTCAACTCCTATTTTTTTTATCCTTAAGAGTCACTACGTACTGGCAGGTATACGAGATCACATGATCTCCTCACTATCATCAGCACACGTGATATAACAGTCCAGCCACATATAGCTCCGTCGGGCGGTGAAGCTTTGCCTGCGCCACAGAGCCTCTTTGCTCGCCGACAACCCCCAATTTGATTCAGTCAGTCTTCAAGCATCATTAATACCCACAATTCGTTGAAATCCATTGGACCGGACTTTCTGTGGTGCCGTCTTTAGTGGCGGCTGTTCTACTTGTTCTCGTCTTGAGATCCCCCTTCCATCTTCTTTCCGAAACACTCATCATCTTTCTCCCTGCACATCGAAGCGTGCCTTTCACGACAAATACAAGATGAGCGCCCGCGATCTTGTCGAGGGAGAGGCCATGCTAGATGATGAGGAGAATGAAGAGGAGTTGGCCGATGACTATGACGGTGAAGGCGAAACTCATCAAGGTGCTGGCACTGCGAATCACTACGACTCAAGTGAGGAGGACGAGGATGATGATGACGATGAGGAGGCCGCTCGTGCAGTAGGTTCCCAGCTTGAGGCGCATTCACCCCGAGCCATAACTGAATAACTTCACGACAGGTCCGGGAAGGTTTTATTGTCGATGAAGATGAAGAACTTGAAGACCGCGCGGAGCGCCGGCGGGAGAAGAGGAAGCGACGCAGGGAAGAACGCGAGCGCGAAGATGAGCATCTAGATGAGGAAGACTTGGAACTCATCGGAGAACTCAACCCGTCACTTCAAGCCCCGGTTGCTGCAGAGGTATGTCGAAATTCCGGCCGTCCGTATGCCGGTTAAACTGCGCATGTGATAGAGTACATCAGGCTGATCCAAACTCCGATCCTATTAGTCTAAATTCAAGCGCTTGAAAAGAGGACACAAAGATCGAGATCTTCGACAGCCCTCTCAAGGTATCGATGACATCTTTAACTCCGACGAAGAAGAGGAAACTGCAGGCGACTATGGAAGGCCTGGGCATAGGAGGCATATGCACGATGAGATGGACGACTTCATCGAGGAGGACGTTTTCTCGGATGAGGAGCTACAGAGAGAACGAGAAGACCTAGAGATTGCGCGTCCCGCAAAGAAGGGCATGACCGGTTTAGGAGCTACTGATGCTGCTGGGTTAGATGAAAACGCTTTAGAGGATATGCGCGCGGCCTTCGGGGATGGCAACGAATACTTGTTTGCTCTGGAGATGGAGGATCAGGAGGAAGAGCAGGAGGAAGACGAAGAGAAACACTTGGATCTCAAGGATGTCTTTGAGCCATCTCAGTTGGCGGAGAAGATGTTAACGGAAGAGGATAATCAGATCCGCCTGTTGGATGAACCAGAAAGGCATCAGATTGCCCGGAAGCCGTATCGCAACGTTGTCCTCACCGAGGAGCAATTTCGAGAAGAGGCCGCCTGGATTTCTAACCTCATGCTCCTCAAGAAGCGCATTGAACCGGAGCTGCGCGAACCCTTTCAACGATCTGTGGCCAAGGTGCTTGAGTTCTTAGTGACAGATGATTGGGAAGTCCCGTTCATCTTCCAGCATCGGAAGGACTACATGATTCATGCTGTTAAAGCTCCTGCAGAGGGTGCGGGGGAAGATGGTGACGCATCTCAATATACGATACGAGCGGAGAAGCTTTTAAACATGACGGACCTCTGGGACATATTCGACCATGATCTCAAGTTCAAGGCTCTGGTAGAGAAGCGAAATACGATACAGAAAACCTATGATAATTTGCAGAGTCTATTCAACGTGAGTGACTCTGTTGTGGAGGAGATGCTCCCAGCAGCTGTCACCATGGAGGAGCTTCAAGATGTGCAGGATTACATTCACTTCCAGTATGCGTCTCAGCTGCGGGACATGGCTCTTATGAACAGCGATGCCAACGGAGAAACGCACCGGCGGAAGGCGTCAAGCAAAACTTTTTTCGAGCGTGTCCGAAATGGTAAGGCATACGGCTTGGTGCGTGCATTCGGCATTACAGCAGATGCTTTTGCGCAAAATGCTCTGAAGGAAGGTCGTCGCCAGTACACGGAAGACCCAGCGGAGAGGCCGGAGGAGATGGCCGACGGGTTTGTGGATAATGATTTCTCCAATGCATCACATGTTATCAAAGCTGCCAAGAGCTTGTTCGCTGAGGAAATCGTGATGAGCCCTAAAATGCGGAAGGTGATTCGCCAGGCGTACTACATGAATGGCGCTGTCGACTGCTTCCGAACGGAGAAGGGCCTCCGTAGAATCGACGAGCAGCACCCCTACTACGAGTTCAAATACCTTCGAAACCAGCAGCTCAGTGACATTGCCCGCCGACCGGAGCTGTATCTTCGCATGCTTAAGGCCGAGGAGGAGGGCTTGGTGGAAGTCAAGGTCCGCTTCGAGAACTTTGACCAGTTCCGCCAACGTCTGTATCCCGACATTGAATCCGATAACTATAGCGAAATTGCGGACGGCTGGAACCGCAGTCGTCGGGACGTCTTGGACATGGCTCTTGGTAAATTAGAGCGATTGATTAACCGCAGCGTGAAGGAGAACATCCGCCAGGAATGTGAGAATCATGTGGCAAAGGAATGCCGAGAAACTTTCTCTCAGCGATTGGATCAAGCCCCTTATAAGCCTAAGGGAATGGTGCTGGGAACTGTTCCCCGCGTTTTGGCATTGTCCACTGGGAGTGGCGTTGTGGGACGGGAACCTATACATTGGGCCTACATTGAAGAGGACGGCCGTGTGTTAGAGAATGGAAAGTTTGTGGACTTGTCAATCGGAGATCGTGATCGTAACATCCCAGATGGCAAGGATGTTGAGGCCTTTGTGGAGCTCGTGGACCGCCGCCGACCGGATGTCATTGGCGTCAGCGGCATGTCCCCCGAAACTCGCCGTTTATACAAACTCCTGGCTGAGGTTGTCGACAAAAAGGACCTACGCGGCGCTCCGTACACCGATGAGCATGACGAAGAGATCAGTGATCGCTTGGAAGTGATCATTGTGAACGACGAGGTGGCGCGTCTCTATCAGCATAGCGAACGGGCAAAGAAAGACCACCCCAGCTTTGCACCTTTGACACATTACTGTGTTGCTCTAGCTAAGTACCTGCAGAGTCCCTTAAAGGAGTATGCTTCGCTAGGCCGGGACATCGTCTCTATTCAGTTCAAGCCGGGTCAGCAGCTGGTTACCCAAGAGCTACTTCTAAAACAATTAGAAACAGCATTGGTGGATATGGTTAACCTTGTTGGTGTGGATATCAACGAAGCGGTTACGGATTCCTCGACGGCCAACCTTCTTCCTTACGTCTGTGGGCTTGGTCCTCGTAAAGCAGCTCATTTGCTCAAGATCGTCAACATGAACGGCGGCGTGGTGAACAATCGTGTAGAGCTTCTGGGTGTGAATGCACAATATCCAGCAATGGGCGTCAAGGTCTGGAACAACTGTGCCAGCTTCCTGTACATCGATTTCGAGAACGTCGATCCGGATGCGGACCCATTGGACAACACACGGGTGCACCCCGAAGACTACGATATTGCTCGGAAAATGGCCGCCGATGCCTTGGAGCTGGATGAGGAAGACATCAAAGCGGAAACGGATGAGAACGGCACAGGCGCCATCGTGCGTAAACTGTTCCGTGAAGAAGCACAGGACCGAGTCAATGATCTGATTCTGGAGGAGTATGCGGAACAGCTGGAAAAGAATCTAAATCAGCGAAAACGCGCCACACTCGAAACAATTCGGGCAGAACTGCAACAACCGTATGAGGAACTGCGGAAGCAATATGTCTTCCTCAGTACGGACGATATCTTTACCATGCTCACGGGTGAGACCTCGGACACTTTGGCCGAAGGCATGGTGGTGCCGATCTCCATTAAGCGGGTCTCTGATGACCACATTGATGGCAAATTGGATTGTGGTATCGACGCCCTCGTTCCTGAGTCAGAGCTTACCGACCGATATGATATACCAGTGCGGGCGCTATACTCACCGCATCAGACTGTGTCGGCCAAGATACTGTTCTTGAATCGTAAAAACTTCACGTGCAACGTCTCGTTGCGGGAGGAGCAAGTAAGTCGCTCAGTGTCCAACGCCCAAGATCGCTTGCGCGGAGAATGGGATGAGCGGCAAGAGCAACAGGATCGCGAGTCTCTGCAGGAGAAAACCCAAAGTGGGGGACGAACGATGCGAGTCATCAAGCACCCGTTGTTTAGGCCATTCAATTCGACCCAGGCAGAGGAATTTCTGGGTTCGCAAAGTCGGGGCGACGTGGTTATTCGACCGTCGTCTAAGGGCCATGACCATCTGGCTGTGACATGGAAGGTGGCCGATGGCATCTTCCAGCATATCGATGTACTGGAGTTGGACAAAGAAAACGAGTTTTCTGTTGGACGGACTCTGAAGGTTGGGGGACGTTATACCTACAGTGACCTGGATGATTTGATCTTCAACCATGTCAAAGCGATGGCCAAGAAGGTGGATGAAATGATGCTGCATGAAAAGTACCAAGACGGTACCAAGGATGCTACTTGTAAGTATAACGCCTTCCCCCCCCCCCTTTCCCTTTCTTTCCCCTAATTCTTCTGCTGCGTTTTCCTATTATGATTTTTTTTTTTTTCCTCTACTCTGCAAACAATCGATGACGTGGTCTATTACTGATGAAACATGCAGACTCTTGGTTGGAGACTTATACAAAAGCTAACCCCAAACGATCGGCCTATGCTTTCTGTATTGATCCCAAACATGCCGGATACTTTTTCCTCTGCTTTAAAGCCGGTGAAAACGCGCGACTACATAGTTGGCCGGTGAAGGTGATTCCTCAAGGCTACGAGCTCCAACGCAATCCATATCCTGACATGCGGGCGTTATGCAATGGATTCAAGTTATTATTTACCAACATGCAAGCAGGCAAACGGAGGTGAAGGTTGGAGGTGACTTGTTATATGTTGATTTTCTCCTCTGGATTTCCCCTGTATACTGTGTAATAAATATCCTTTATGAATTTGGACGGTGTTGAGGATTCTGAAATCCTTCTCTTTCTTGATTGTATTTTTCTTTTTGGAATTGTGGGCAGAAAAAGATGGAACATTTTATGCATTGGAACGATAACCCCCGTTCTTCTTGTTTAACAATTTAAGAATTTGTTTTTTTTATTTATTTTCTTAGAAATTTCAGATGCATTGCATTGCATGAATGTATGTACCTAGGGTCGTTGTCGGTATCGGCATTTATTTATTTAAAAGGACATGTGAACCTTCGGTGGTTCTCGGAGGCTCAACTGCTACTCCGCACTTTCTTCTCGCAGACTCCAGTCAACTCCTATCGGCTTGTTTGAAGAAATTCCTCGGACCCTTTCCCCTGAGACTCAGGGTTGGATTCCCTATTTATAGATCTTACCGTCTGCCTTACGGGGCAATTCAATGACCAGTCGGTGGAGAGTCAATCCATCCATCGCGCATTGAAGTCATTGTTTTGTGTTGATTTAACGCATTCGACCCTTCCCCCCCCCCTCCACCAAACCCTCTTCTCATCTTCACCTTCACCTACTACTCCCCTTTTCCTTCAGCTTGGCGTTGGTCAAGTCAGATCACTCCTCCTTTCAATTTCGCTGACGGAGTGATTGTCTACCGGGCCCCGTTGCCTACTCTGCGCAGCCATGGCGGCCATGGAGGAGTTGGAGATCCACAGCAAGGTAAGGGGGATGTGACAAAAGTGACGCACTTACGGGACCCTCGACTGACCAATGATTGTGGCCGTCTTTTCTCTTGGTTTTTTCTAGTCCTACTTTGTTCGTTGGGTTAATGTTAAACCTGGTCACACCATCTCCTGGAGCATTCAGCCGCATAGGAAGTCTCTCAACTTTGGCATCTTCAAGCATCCGGGCCATTCGGCCGTCTTGGGATCCAACAATTTGGCCCCTGCCGATTCACACAGCACGGACTCGAATGATAACCTGCCAGCCACCGCTCTGAATCCTAGCTCCCGACAAAATGCTTCCACGCCGATCATCGAACGACTAACGGGCATCGGATTAAAGCAAATTCAATGGATTGGCAAATGTGAGGCTGACAAGATTGTCAAGGGCACCTATGATGTACCTGGGAATGAGGGTGGAAATTACGCGCTCGTCTTTGACAATACCTTTTCCAAACAGATCTCCAAGACTGTGACTCTCGTGCTACTTACCTACCCAACAGCCTTGTCCCCACAGTCGGCACCAGTACCCCACGCAGCGGTCCTACCATCTCGTGGAACCGACTCCTCGGAATCTGGAAAGCCGCTGGCTTCGCGGAGACGAGGAAACAGCTCTGCGAACGTTCTACCGCCATCCATCAACACCGATCCGGCCTCGGTTCACACCGGTATTTTACAGAAGCGGCGAAGGAAGCGCCACCAGGGCTGGGCGAGAAGATTCTTTTCTCTGGATTTCACATCATCTACATTGTCTTACTATCACGATCCGAATTCTTCCGCCTTACGCGGCTCCATCCCCTTGACCTTAGCTGCTGTCGCATGTAACGAGAACTCACGCGAGGTCTCAATTGACTCGGGCACTGAGGTTTGGCACCTTAGAGCTAGCAATGATCAAGAATTCATCTCATGGAAGCGGGCTTTGGAACGAGCATCCTCCTCCAAGACCCCGGCGGCCGAAGAGAGCCACCCCGAGCCCCTGCTGCGCGTACCGTCACAGCGTGTTCTCACCAATGCTGCGGAAGAGCGGGAATGGGCGCAGGTTGAGAGCCTTGTGAGCAAGATATCTGGGTCCAGGGATGCTGTACGCCGGTTAGCAAAAGACACGGATCCAAAGTACTTGGGCTACAGTGCGCCCGAGCGGCCTCGCGGTCGGTCACCAAGCCCACATCCCGAGGCAAATGGCGATGAGTCTATGGAGGCGCGTGAGAAGCGTTCCTTCTGGAAACGGAAAGCCAGTGGAAGTTCCCAACTGGGTGGAGTCAAACGCACGACGATGACACCCTCCTCCACGCAACTAGTGGTGCCAGGCCCATCCTCCGGAGACACTGCTTCGCTCTCAGGTGAGCGTAAACCGAGCAGCATCACCAGCCACCCAGACCAGATGGAAGAGATCCACGACCATCTTATGGCCGTGCTACGCGATCTAGACAGTGCCGTTACCGAATTCTCGACCCTGATTGCGGAAAGCAAACATCGACGACATCCACCAGGCCTGACAACTCAGTCGCGACTCAGCATGGAATCTGACGTGTCTCAGGAGTTCTTCGATGCTGTCGACGGGGGCAGTTCGTCTCCGTTGCTAAAAATAAAGGGTGATAGTGACGATGAAGGGGCAGATGACTTTAGCGATGCTACTGCCCGGCAGGCAGAGGATAAAGTTGTGGTGGACGATGCGCCGTCGGACAGTGAGGATGAAGGCTCTGAGACTCCCACGCCTCAGGGTGATCGATACGCCCCGCTGTTTCCTGCAAAACCTAAGTCACTCACTCCTTTGCCGCTTAGCCAAGTTCCTCGTCGTTCGAACATTCCCGCCCCGACAGTCATGCCTCCCAGTTTGATCGGGTTTCTCCGCAAGAACGTCGGTAAAGACCTTTCCCAAATTTCGATGCCAGTGTCCTCCAACGAGCCGTTTTCCTTGTTACAACGTGCGGCCGAGGTAATGGAATATTCTACGCTTCTAGACCATGCCGCCAGTGCTTCCGATGCAGTTGAACGGCTTCTGTATGTGACTGCCTACGCACTCTCATCACTGTCCTGCAACCGGGTCAAGGAGCGGTCAATTCGGAAGCCCTTCAACCCCATGCTAGGGGAGACATACGAGCTTGTCCGCGAAGATCTCGGGTACCGATTCATCGCAGAGAAAGTTTCCCACAGGCCCGTGCAACTAGCCTACCAAGCAGACAGTAAGGATTGGAGTGTTGCGCAATCACCCATGCCAACGCAAAAGTTCTGGGGGAAGTCTGCAGAAATTGTGACCGAAGGAAAGATGAGGTTAACGCTTCATACGACCGGTGAGCATTTCAGTTGGTCAAATGCCACGTCTTTTCTGCGCAACATCATCGCTGGTGAGAAATACTCTGAACCTGTCGGCGAAATGTCGGTTGTGAACGAGACGACTGGGCAGAAAACTGTCTCGGCTTTTAAGGCAGGAGGCATGTTCTCCGGCCGCAGCGAGGAGGTCGTCACGAAAGCACTGGACTCTAGCGGTCGTGAACTGCCTCTCGGGCTGACGGGTACCTGGACCACCTCACTCCAGATGACCAAGAATGGCTCTGCCACAGTACCTGTGTGGAATGCCGGGCTGTTGGTAACCAACGCACCGAAGCACTACGGCCTCACTGTATTCGCAGCCACTCTCAACGAGATCACCCCAATCGAAGACCACAAGCTTCCACCGACAGACTCGCGCCTCCGCCCCGACCAACGGGCCTTGGAAGACGGCGACGTTGACCGGGCAGAGCAAGTTAAAGTCAAGCTAGAGGAATCTCAACGTGCTCGCCGCCGCGAGATGGAATCAGCAGGTCAACTGTGGAATCCAAGGTGGTTTACCCGAGTGGACGATGATCTTGCCGGAAATGAAGGCGAGGTCGTGTGGCGTCTAAAGTCGGGTAAAGAGGGATATTGGGAAGAACGGTCGAAAGGGACTTGGACCGGCGTGGTTCCAGTGTTTGAGACGTAACTTGCTTCTTCGTACATTGATATTCGCGCATATGTATGTATGTCTGTTTCGTATATAGTCATGTCATTATGATCTGATCCCAATGATCGGGGCTGTAATGGCCATGTGTGTCCTATATTCAGCTATCTATATTGTCGTACAACGTCCTCGAAGGCAAAGACAATTATACCTCGTAGATAGTATACCTATAGGATAAAGGCCCTATTGATCCGAACAAAATCTTCCGTCAAGTAATCTACTAGGTAGAATTGCCTGCAAATCAAACTAGCCAAATAAACAGAGGGGATGAATATACATTAACAAAACCGATTGAGAACATAGCCAACATGATTCATTACGCATCTTTGTGTATGATGTATGTTTAAACCAGTTGACCCGAAATGCTAACACGAAAGCTGACCAATTGAAACTAATATTCTTCGTCCGACTGCCCATGGAAAGCCCACCGTCGACTATTCCGCGACTTCGCAGTCTTCTTTGCTGCCCCGCGGTCAGCAGGCGTGTGCTGACGAACCATGACCGGGAGGCTGTCCAACACAGCTCGGTTGCCCTGATAGTAATGCACCGCAAAGCCCCCCTGAAGAATCCGGCGGAGTGAGTTCAGCCGGATCCATTTCCACCACCGGTCGATGTTCATCACACCCTGGCGGCCGACCTTCACAGTGAGCTTGCTGCCGTAATGTCGATTGGTGTCTTGATCGATGGCTGTGTTGTACATTGGACCTCGACGAGGGTCCTCAACCGTGGTCAAAATCGAGACAAAATTGCTGTGTAGGTTCTTTTTATCTTTCTTACTGATGCGTTTGTTATGTACTGTGGCTAGTGAATGCAGTTGCTGCTCAAGCTCGTGAGTATTATGGTATGCATCGTAGCGCTTAATCAATTTAGGGCCCTGTCGGTCGTCCAAAGATTCATTGTCCGACTCGTGCTCGCTATCCTCGTCGTCGTCGTCCTCTTGGGGGGTGTAACTCTTCTCGTACAGTAATGCGATGTTTTCACCTGCTGCGATTTGGACAGGTGATTCACTGCTGTTTAACTGATCCATGAAGATTTGAATTGCATCTTCGCTTTCACCTTCGAGGTCTTCTATTTCAACGGCCAAAACACCCCATTCCTGAAGAGCCGCGGTGACACTGCTCGGGTCGTCGGCAGCATCAATTGACTGCCCATCAGAAGCTGCAATGTCTAGGAAGAACGTCATTTGGTCTAGAATCCCGTCCTCTCCTGCACCCCCGAAGATAGTGCATGCGGCTAGACAATGAATGGCGGCAGCCTTAACAAGGTTGGATGTCGAGTCTCGAATAGTACGAGTAAGTGTTGGTTCTACATTTTCATAAATGGCGTCGTCGAACGCAGTGATGACAAGGAGCTCAAGCGCTCGCAATGCTAAGGTAGTCTCACGCACACTGGATTCAAATTTGATGCTCCGGCAAAAGGCGCCCAAAAGGTCGTTGACGCTGCTTCGAACGTGTTCCTCGACATAGTGACACTTCAACAGACGACAGAATGCAGCGTAGCATTCTTCGCGACTCAGTACGCTGCTACGTTTGCGATCCAAGATATCTTGAATGACGTCACCAAGCTCTTGAGCCCAATTGTTGTTGTCAACCTCAGGGTTATCAGTCAAATCGTCCAGCGAGCCAATGCTGACGAGCGGATTGACCATTAGTAACGTCCGATTTATTATTTTTCTTTTCTTTTCCCCCCCCCAACTTCTTAACACCAATGACATCATTCCGCCACTAGTGATGGGAACAAGAACACAAAAAAGTTGTGAAAAGAGAACGACAAAACTCACCTCAACGCGGTGTCATCACTGAGGTTCCCAGCGTCTTCCTCGTCGGATGGATTCCTGCTTGCGTTTCGAGAAGATTGGTGGGAATTTTGAGCAGAGTTTGTGCGTGAAGTCCGACGAGAACCTTCACGCGAAGCTGCTTTCCGAGAGATGGTCTTGCCGCTCTCCAAGACCTGACGACGAAGATCAGGCATGTCTAACTTTGAGATTCAACGGTCGTTGTTTTAAGATGAAGTAGGCTCCGTGAAAGTGAAAATAAGGATGATAAAGGTTTGGGAGCAGAAAAAGAGAATCTGAATAGAGGCCGCGAGGGTAGCCGCAATATGCTGCCGTAGATTAGTGTCGGCCAAAGTAGGGCTATGCGAGAGGTATGGAAATAGTTGATAATAGGAAGATTTTCTCGGAGACAAAGTTCATGATAGAATACGTCTTCAGGTACGAAGATACAAAGGTATTTCAGGGTTCAGACGGTGGGACACATGAAGAAATGAAAAGAAATCTTTTAAATTCAGCAGGCGGCGATTACCATATCTCATAGAGTGACCCCGTGATTTTTTTTTTTTTACTTTTATTATTATTATTATTATTATTATTATTAACTTTTCTTTGCCCTCCGTCAAGTTTACTTGGGCACTTGACTATTCACCACAGCCATTCAGAATATAAGACTCCCTATCCTCAATCAGCTGGCCATGTGTTCTCCTGTTCGTTTATATTCCAGGCACACTTGATCACTGTTTGATCCCAGATCTTTCCCCCTCATGGCTATTAATTAAACCCAAGCCACCAATGATTCCAGTGGTTATCTCCACGTGATGCGGGGTCGGGCTTATCTTCTTTCGTCAAAGAATACTCAAATTCGCCAGGTGGCTGAGGCATCCACCAGACTCTTTTGTATGGGCTAGTACCACCTCAATAATATGTAGTCTAGAGAACTGAAGTCATAATGGTAAACCTCGTTTCGAATAGTCCATTACCCTGGGGTATCTAGCTTTTGTTTTCTTTTCACTCTGTTTTGCCGTAGACATACAAGGAGCCATTCCAAAATCTAATTGCTTTCCAAAACCAATTCCAGTATCCTCCGCGCTTTGTTCCCCTCCAGATACTCTCTCCCTTCTCTTCTCCAATCATCATCATCGTCATCATCACCAACCTCTAAATCTACTTGTAAGCTAGCCTCATATGCACTCATCACGGTCTCCTCATCAACCCGAACCCCCCCTTGAACAAGAACTCGGATACACTGCGCTAGTCGTGCAATTTCTCGCCTTGTTTGAGCCGGGATATCATCGTTTTGGCTGGAGTATATAGAGCTCGACACCATCTCCTCCATGCGGGTAATCGACACGCTGTCCGTGGTGGAAGACGCGGCAGCGGTATCATCGGCATGTTTCGAAATCCAAATATACCCGTTAACTCCAAGTATGACATCCACATCGCCGCCTCCATTGGCGGTGTTGACTGTCCACACCTGTCTCCGAGACCGAACTACTCCTCCCGTGCCTGATGCGCCCATCGCTCCTGCAGGGATAGGTCCGGAGCCAACTCCTCCTTTTACCATCGAACTTGAAGCTCCACTCCCACCCGTCCCGGTCACAGCGAGAAAAACCCCATTTCTGAGTTTTCCGTACTTCAAAGACCGCGTATGTAGTGATGCTGCACCATCAGAATGTACGGTCTGAACTTCTGCAACTACTAGGTCGCCTTCACTGAAGAAAGTTCTGATCTGTAGTTCATCGGCGCTCGTTCGCCGACGTAATATACCGCCCGGAAGGTTGATCGCAGACAGTGGAAGCTGTGCAAGGAGCGGGGCAGCAACATCTACTTTCCATCGTCTGGACTGAACTTCAACAATGCGTCCCACGACAAGGTCGCCTATTTCTGGAGTATAACGAGCTCGAAGCGGTTGTACGGAGAGAAGTTTGTTGGTCTTTTGAACAGTACCGGCGACCGTGGCAATTATGGAGGTCGAAAGGGGATTTATATATGTACCATGTCCTCTGTATGCCTGTCAATGTGTGCCCATGAAGTACAAACGGTAACGCATCTGAAACCCCGTATGGGACCAACCAACCTCATCCATTGTGGATCATCTGTCACTATTTCTCCAGGCGTAACCACTCCTGACGTAATATCTGTTCCTTCCACTAAGCGAGGTCGTTTGCTCGGTCTTGACGTCCTTCCTGTTGCTAGGTCTACTCCTCCGTCCGAGTCCACGGACATGGAATCCACGTCTGAGTCCGAGTGGGATATGTCGACATGGTCGACCACTGGGGGAAGAATTGTAATAGCCATTCTCTAAAAATCCTCAACTGCCGAATATCTGGCTGTCAATACATTCATGAAGTATGGTATATGGTGACATGTTGATATGGAAGGATTCTAACATATGATGGTGAGAAAGGCTTTCTGTGCAGGGAGCAAACATGACAAACTTGGAGTGGAGACTCGGTATTTATGCACAAAGGCCTGTAACCATGAATCATTGAGGTTAAACATCGGGTTCGAAAAACCATCATTTACACCCACTTTCCTTTACAAAAGGAACGGGGAAATGATATAGATATAATAACTAATAAAAAAAATAAAGAAAGAAAGAGAAAGTTATAAAACCAAGAATTTAATATTAACTGGGGAGCTTACAAAACATACAATCTCCTATAGACCTCCGATACGAGTACTTAAAGTAACATATTAATGTCTCGCTCCAGTCTCATATCCAATTTCAGAGATTTACCTTCAAAAACAAGAAAACAAGGAAGAATAAAAGAAAAGGGGTAAGTCAACTATAGGAACTGAGTGGTAGGACAACGAAAGCATGTCTAAATAAACTCGACATAATGGAGAACACGGATCACAGCCATGGCCCGCAGCTTCGACACAGAGCATACAATCATGACTTGACTAGGGTAAACTTGAACAACATTTCCGGTATTATTCTGATAAGCTAGTACTATCCATCTTTCAGGACTTCCTCAATTAACATCCAATCAAATCAATGCAGTGGAAGAAGCGAAGGTAAAAAATTACAAAATGCCAACACTATTAATACATGTATAGAATGGAATGAGGGAACTTTCAGGCACCTACCCCCGATGTTCTCTTCGACGAACGCTTGACGACGCCAGAACTGCCATCGTCTTTTTTCTTCCGACTTGACCGGCTGCTACTACCACCTTTGGATTTATTGCCAGCATCTTCTTCGCGCTTGCGTTTGCCCTTAGAACCTCCTGACCCGTGTCCAGTATCTATTAAAGCACTATCGTCATCGTGGGGATCTTCGTCTTTCCGCGACTGGTTGGAGGCTGCTTTCTTGGACGTGCGCAAATTCGATGGTCGAGAGGCAGACTTTTCGGATGCGTTCTCATTGTCTTGTAAGAAGATATGCGGTTGGTTCCTTCGTAGCCAATTGTACACCGATATTGGATTTCGCAATGCAGCCTCTCTCTCTCGTTCGACAAAGGCAAGTTTCTCAGGGATACTACTCAGTTGTAGGACTGCTGAATCATCACCTAGTTTGGCGTCGGTAGCCAGATAATACTCATTTTCGTGTTCAGGCGTGAAGAACCCAAGGCTATGTTCAGAAGCAATATTTCCGGATTGATTTTCTTCTGGTTGTGGAAGTGTGTGGGGAATCCTTATCAACGACGTATACTGCATGCGCGGCACAAAGATTTCGTTCCGTTTCACAGAATTCTCCAGGTCACAGTAATGCTCAACCGTCATGAGGCCAAGTGCCAGATCCGTTCTTGCGTTTCTGAGCATTGAGCTAGCCACGGAAGGATCGTTGTGTGAGGGCGAAAGTTCTCTTTGTGGAGTTGGGGGCAAGATATCATCTCCGGGAGCACTCAGATCGTACCGAAGGTCCGGTGAGACATATATACTGTCGTTAAATTCTAGAAGAGTTTCGAGTAGCTGGCTACACAGCATTATTATATGAGCCACACATGAAGAAAAGATGGACGGAAACACACTCATTCTGTTCCTGTATCCTCTTTGAGAGATCCTGAATGCGCAACTCCTCCCGGATAAGCGATTCGCTCTCTCTCATTCCGAGCTCGAATTTTACTTTGAGTTTCGCAAACTTCTTCCTGTGAAAAAGCAGGATTAGCATACGACAGTGAATAAAGATATGAACAGATGCACCTACTTAAAAGACCGGTATGACTGTTTGTTAGGGGCACCTGCGGGAGCATCGGGAAGGCTTTCGGCCACGGACTGGGCCTCATCTGCGTCTTGAGACATGGTGTAACAGAAGAAATAGTGTTGTATTTGACTGACAAAGGTAGAGGCTATCACGAGGGCGCGAATGTATCAGTGTATAGGGGTTGAGAAAGTTGATCAATTCTAGTAATAACCTTGATCGCGCGTTAAGCGGTGTTGCCAAGAGGCCCATATGGGACCAAATGATGATCGAAGGGTGATCCGGGCGGAATGTTTCTGCCCGCCCGAAAGAGGAAAGGGAAAAGGAAAAGAAAAAATAGAAAGTTAATTTCCTACAATGAACGTTACTTATTCGCATACAGATAAATTGTGCCACAACCTGACCCAGTGTTTGTTCAATTACTAGTGACCAACGTCCTCTTTTCTTTTCTTTTCTTTTCTTTTCTTTTCTATTTCGTTTGTCGCGTGGATTCGGCAAGCAAAATGCCAGCGGTTGGTGAGGCAAACCATAAAAAGCGAAAGTTACCAGAGGCATCCGAGATCGAGATCGATGTCTCTGCTCCTGAACCTCCATCAAAAAAAGCTCTGCGTAAAGCAAAGAAGAAAGCTGCCGATGCTCCACCAGAGACTACTACTACTAGCGAACAGAAGACGGAAGTCGCTGCAGACCACGAAGAAAATTCCAAGAAACGCTCAGACTATGGAATCTGGATTGGAAACCTAGCATTTTCCATTAGTAAAGATGACCTGCGCAAATTCTTTACAAGCAATTGTTCTTTCACGGATACTACGATCACTCGGATACATTTACCCAAGTCATCAGAAAAGAACGGGAAAGCGCAAAATAAAGGATTTGCATATGTTGATTTCTCCAACCAGAAGGCCACGGCTGAGGCTTTGGGCCTGAGTGAACAACTCCTATCTGGGCGCCGTGTGCTTATAAAAGATGCCAAGAGCTTTGTTGGTAGACCACAAAAGTCTCAGCAGGAAAATCAGAAGACTGGCGCTACTGGGGCGGCCTCTGGTAACCCTCCTTCTAAGCGTATATTCGTCGGCAACCTTGGCTTTGACGCCACGAAAGAGATCATCGAGGAACATTTTGGGAAATGTGGGTCGGTTGCACATGTACAAGTAGCAACATTTCAAGACTCCGGGAAATGCAAGGGTTATGCCTGGGTGACATTCGAAGACATCACAGCCGCGGAGGCAGCGGTGAGAGGCTTTGTTATGGTTAATGAAGACGAGGAAGATGAAGAAGTACACGGGTCTGACTCCGAAAACTACAAGCAGCCAAAGAAGCTGAAACAAAGAAGGGTATGGGTAAACCAGATTTTGGGTCGGCGTATGCGGATGGAATTTGCAGAAGATGCAACAACAAGGTACAAAAAGCGCTTTGGCAAGGACGGCGAAGGCAAGAAAACACAAACTACAGATGTTAGTGGGTCAGAACACTTTGACGATCAGGATGCAACCGGAAGACAACCTCAACGATCACGATCCGCAAAGACTATGCAGGAAAGGACGGACTACTCAAGATACGATAAGGAAACAGTGCAAAAGCTCAGTGGTGCCATTGTTGAGTCTCAAGGAAAGAAGACTACGTTCGATTAAAATAGCCAGGGTTGTTCTCTTCGAAAAAGACAAGAGAGTAGTTCGTGGCTAGTAACGAATGAAGATGTTGTTAGTGCCCTAAAGCTCCTCGAGGGGAGAAAAACGAACTACAGGCAAAAGAGTTGTTCATGACTTCAGCCCATCCCGATGGATCTACTGCCGTTCGGGAAGACTGAAAAATTTGCATGGTAATGATCAACAGTTTGCTCCTATGCGGGCATGGTTGATCCAGCTGGCAAATAGATTTCCAGATCATTGATACCCAAAAGAGCAGCAATACGTATCTAAAATATGGCATGATGAGTGTCGATAATAACTATATAGATTGACCTTCTTTCCAATCCTGCTAACGAGCAGCAGCTTACTAAGACGTGAACATAATCAAATTAAGCTATGCGGGCATTTCAACAAACCCTCCTAGAACTTTTTTTTCTTTTCTCTCTTTTACTTTTTCCTTTCACTGTTGGTCCAACGCCTTAGGTAACTGCCAGTGATGTCTGTTGATATAACTATTCATCAAGAGCGCGGAGTCCTTCTAAATTAGCATACATTGGATTGCTCTACTTCCTTCCAATGGCTCGTAGATCCCTCTTAGTTCTAGAATCGCTGATGTGGTTTGGAGGGCGCTAACCGGATTGAGAAGGTTTGACATCGATGGACCGGAGATGTCATGGCTCAAGGCTCATGCTCAAAAACCACCAAAGCTGTTGCGCCTTTTAGACTATCCGCACTTTTTCCACACCTCTTGCCCTCGCTCCCGAGGTGCATATTCTTCTCTTTAATACTGACCACCACGACTTTGCCGTTCTTCCCCGTGAAGAAACATCGAACTTGTTTCCCTTTCGTTGCTGTAGTGCACAGTCTGGCCCACCTTTCCTTGCATCGCCCCGGTCTCGCCGCAATCTATCTCAGGTAGCTGCGACCGTTCCTCGACCTGTTTCCAGCCTTTTCTAACGCAAACGACCATCAGATACGACCATCTGGTAGCACTAAAATTTCCTTTTTCTATTCTTCCCCGCTTGGATGGCTCCCCGTCGTCACAATATCGGTGCTAGCCGGCGAAAGAGGAGAGATGAGGAAGGAGAGGATGAAGGCTCTATAGATGGAGAATTGGAGGATGATTCCTTGAGTGATGGGTCTGGTATCAGCAACCCTGACGACGATGATGCCGATGGTGAAGGCAGTGATGACAGCGATGACGATGGGGAATCTACGTCCCCGCAGGTGGCTGCCAACGGCCGTCGTCAAATTAATGGTCGTGTGCCCGAAATAAACCAAGCGTTGGCACCACGCCATTCTGCCTCACCAAGGAAGCATCCCCTGACGACTGCTGTGTCGGATACGGAGGCGATGATGAATGGACTGAGAATAATGGACGAATCGAGTGAGGTGATGGAGGTACACTTTGACGACTTGAAGGCGGAACCTAGCCATCAGACCGAAAGAACACCGTCTGCCCCTCCTACGGACCCAAAGCGAGACACATTTTTGGACAGGAAGCGTCGTGAACAAGAAAGACACATTAGGGAAAAGGACGAAAGCCCAGTGTTTGTGCCTACCCGGGGTAGCTTCTTTCTACATGACAAACGTTCCACGGAAACAGTGACAAACGGCCACAAGCAGTTTAATAAATCAAAATCAAGGCCGTATGGCCTCATCGTTGATGGTAATGTTCGCAGGTATGGTCCCTTCAACTGCACACTTATTCACCTTGATGGCAACACATCAGCGCTTAAAAGGTAGCGTATTTCTGACTGTTTCCAGAACTGTCAAACCAGATGTCAGCGAGGGATTATGGACACATGATCTTCACGACACAGTCGCTGGAGATGAGCCATCTGCCTCGAAGCCCTCTACCACATCGGCACTAACATCTATCATACCGCCAAAACCTGTTCCAACAGCCCCTAGATCGTCACCCCCCAACAGGTCTTTTTCAAGCACTACATTAATTGGAAATGTGCCTGTCGTAGTATCCCTGCCGGGCATGGAGCACCCAGTTCCTTATCCTTCTGTTTCGAAGAAGCAGCACACACGTTTACCTCAGCATCGGCCCCCTCTACGTCGAGACAAGCCCGTTCGAATCTCACTCCCAGGCCAACCTCCAAGGTACATCTTACCTGCAACAGAGAGATCTTTCATATTTATTCCACGGGCTTTGCGACCCAACCAACAGACTTTCCGAGGTCGTGGTCGTGGTGGATTCTACGGAGGGCGGCGTCCTAGCCTTTATGCAAACTCTACTTACTCATCAAGTATCACCGTGAGTCGAAGATCATCATTTGGAAAGGCACCATCTCAAGAGGGATACCACTCGCCAGCAGGCTCAGTTCTCTCGAGGCACACTATGGTGACAACAGAGAATGGCAAGCCAGTAGTCCGCCTTCCTCCACCTGGTAGGCCACCTGGAAGCGTTGGAGCGATCCCGCAGACAACTGCTGGACCAGCAGCCGCCCCGACCACTGTACCGCAACCTCATCCTCATCCTCAACCACCAAATCCCGTCTTTCGTGAGAGCCGTCCGGCTCCGATACCCATGCATCAGCCTCGTCCTCAGAAGGCGGTTTCCCTCGCCGATATTGAAACGCCGGCGAGATTCCCGTTTAATCCTCCCCAACCACAGCAGGAACAACCATTCCATCACCAGGTCCCAGTATCTGCAAATGGTTCCGGCTATGGTCCTGATGCCTCTGGCCACCCCCCTCCTTCCGCTCACAGATCCTTAACACCAACTTCCCACATACAGGATCGTACCTTTCATGCCCCGTCTCACATCCCTGCATACCAACAGCCGTTCTGGCCTGCCTCCTATCCTCCAGGCGCTATCTACTATCCTGGCTCGGGGACGGAGTTCCCACCATATAACTCCGCTGTCGGACCTGGGCCATCCGTACCGCCTTTACCTCCTGGACAACAACCCCCATATATGGTTCCCGTTTCCCATGGCTCGGCAGAACAACCGTCACTGTCAGGCACTGTTGCACATGAAGCTGGTGGGACAGTATATTTCTACGATACCACGCAAATGCCCCCTAATTCCTCATACGCAATGCCTGCTGCACCTGAGATTGGTGCAGTTATGGATATGGGCGCGCCTCCAGTTCCATTCTATTACTATCCGTACCCTCAAGCGGGCGTGTATTACCCTGCGCAGTAAAGCACACGATGCTCATATACACTGTACGGAAAGTTTTTCCTTTTCTTCTTTTTTATTCTCCTTTCGTTTTTTCATTCTTCTATCCATTTTCTTCTCAATTCAGCCCAAAATATCATTATCCTCTTCGTTCGTATCATTCTGTGTTGAGTTTCGTTTGGAATTTTCGTTTCTCCCTATATTTTTTTTTCCCCTCCTTTTTATTTTCGCTATCCCTACTCTGTGGCGATGCTAAATTTTTACCGTTAAAATCATGATAACCGTTTATTTCCTTAGCAGCCTTGAACGATGTATTTTCTGCTGGGGTATTCTTTCCTTTTCTTCTTTTCGGATACGGTCTGTCGGTCATGCTCCTCCCGTCCAATCTGTCTTAATCGTGGTTAGATTAGGATTCTATGCATATTTTTAGCGTTTGTTTTTCACCATTGTCTGTTGTCAACGGATCTATGTCGGAAGATGTCTCACGTTTTATATGGATACCATCATTTTCATCTGAAGGATGATACGACACCGGTTTTTAGTTTTCTAGCTGGTAATTAGCCGTTTGTTCCGCAACGAGCCCGGACAGATACATCAGTCGTACACCCGTACAGGGATGGATTTTGGAGTGATGTGTGCTATTAAGGCTTTCTGCAGTTTGACGCAACTTTGCATGTCGATTCATAAGTATCTCTATCCAATATAGGCCAGTGCTACTAATAATTGTACTAATGTAAGCATGGATGCAAAAGGAAGCAAGGAGTTGACGTGGAGGCTAGAGGTCAGTAGCAGAAGCACTCGGAGTAGAATAAGAAGAATGAATACCTACGTAGTTTGAATGGGGTCCCAGGTAAAGGCCCAATCTGTTGGCAACAGGCCGACCGAAGATCACTAAGGTCCGTGTAAGGAAGATATACATGTACATACCGTGTGTCTGTAGTGTATGTGACGTAGTTGGTATATTACATACGTACTCCGTAGCACTAATGGAAGTGCCATTAACTTCTCAGCAGCCACCAGCCAACCACCAACAGGGATGCCCCGGAAGCCTACTGGTACGAAGTAGCCTTCACCGCCCCCTCCAGCCGAATGCAGCAAAGCAGATGACCACCTACCCCCGTCAGGGCGTCGCCCTTTAACCCATCGATTCCTCTCCTCTTCTTCTCTTACTTTACCTACCTTACTTTGCTTCACCTTTCCAACAAATTTATTTCATTTCATCATCATCACTTTCTTCCACCTCCATTCCAAAGTCATCACTCTCCCATTCAACCAACGCCATCCAAGTAGCTCGATTCTTATCACTGATCTATCCTTTCTCATCACTAGCGTGCCCGCTCCCTTATCTCTAGGGGCATGTTTAGCATCTCAAGTGATTTCATCGTCTAGGGAATCTTAAAAGCATCATGTCGACCTCTGCCTCCCAGGCTACTTCCATAAACCCGAATACCTTAATTACGGTGAAGGTGCTTTACAATGACAATACTCGTCGCTTCAAAATCCCTTTGAAAGAGCTTGAAGCTCGTGTTCTCCCCCAAAAGGTGTGTCCCCACCCTAGCTCCGACCGGAGCTTACAGTGTTCCCCTGTATGGTGTAGATCTTCTTTACCTTCGAGAATTTCCACTTTTTAAAGCTTCTATCATAGGGGGTCTAACCTCCCTGGTCTGAAAGAAAAGAAAGAATTGGAAGATGTTTCCCACACTGAGTTGCTAAACCTTCCAGCCTCATTACTGATGTCTTCATATGTAGCTCCGCCAGCTTCTTGGCATCCCGAGAGATGTTAACGTCATTCTTGAACGTTTGTCTGACAGCGCTGGTTGTTATATCCACTTGGACAGCGAAAACAATTCTGTCTACAAACAACTCTACCGTGCCGCAAAGGCCAAATTGAAACTGCGAATTAAGGTTACAGAGGTTGACAGTACTACCTCTCAATCACCATTGCCCGCGGAAGATTCCACTGAGCACCAAGATCAGGTGAGATACAGCTACCTTCAAACAGTATTAAGCTCTCCGCTCCCTGAAGGCTCAGCTGAAGCTGTTTCTGAATCGCCACGTGATGCTGCGGAGCCCGCCCCAACTGAGCCCAAGGCCATGCAATGGTCTAATACGGGTGTCGTAGCTCCCGAGCCGCAATACCAAGACTTCAGTTTGGGCCAGGATAATCTCAGCACTCCTGTGGTCTCGCATAAATCTCCCACGGGTGTTTTTTGCATTGACTGCAATCATTGCGGTTTATCTATACCCAATGAACACTACCACTGCGGTATCTGCGATGATGGTGATTATGACCTATGTCTCCATTGTGTAGACTCGGGGGTTACCTGTCCAAATGAGGACCACTGGTTAATTAGACGCATTGTTAAAGATGGCATTGTCACCAACAGCACCACAGAGACAGTTGCTCCTCGAAAGCTCCAGACCAACGTTCCCAAGGAAGCCCCCGAGAAGGACGAAAAGAAATCAGAGTTTGTCCCAGAATCCGTCCCTGAAGACGCCCCAAAAACTTCACCAATTCCTGTTGAAGTTGCTGTTCACTCGGAAGCCCGTATTTGCAATGCTTGCCTCAAGGGTACGTTCTCTCCCCCTCCCCAACTCTCTTCCTTTTTTTTGATATTTTTTCTTCCTTCTACCCCCCTCCTCCTAACTAGGGGCTCCTAAAGCAAAATATCCATATACTAACTAGAAGCAGAATTTAACGAAACTAAAATGGTCACTTGCCTTCAGTGCAAGGACTATGATCTTTGTATCACGTGCCTTCTGAAGGATTCCCATGGTCATCACCCAGCTCACAACTTTTCTCTTCTTCATGACGGGCCCTTCTGTTTAAAGAATTTGGTTTTGTCACGCTGCAAACCTGGGCGTCGTTATCAACATGCCGCCATCTGTGACGGCTGCGAGAAGGTGGGTCATGCGACTTGTAAATTCGTTACTGTGAGCTAACACATCTTTAGAATGTCGTCGGTGTGCGCCACAAGTGCCTCACCTGCCCTGATTGGGATTATTGCTCTGAGTGTTTTTCAAATGCACCGGAGACTCATCCTGGTCATCGATTTGCTCCACTTTATGAGGCCATATCTGAGCCGTCTCAGGCTCATGAGGTCCACTATGGTATCTTCTGCGATGGCCCCCTTTGCAAGAACAAGGCAGTCCCTGGATATATTACTGGGATCCGTTACAAGTGCTCCGTATGCTATGATCTCGATTTCTGCGCCAGTTGCGAGGCGCTTCCGACAAATACGCATAACCGAACTCACCCAATGGTCATGCTAAAGACGCCTGTTCGCAATGTTACTGTCAGTACACTCCAGGAGGATAGATTCGGAGGATCTACAGTCGCCCTCGGTGATCGTGCTCAAAGATCCCTATCGACCCAAGCCGTCAATTCGGTGGAACCCGAGGCCTCTATCCCTGATGTGCCTGTTAAAGAAGAGTCGGGGTTATCACAAGACACCGAGTTCGTGAAGCAGGAACGTCCACTTTCAAGAGAGCAGCCAATCATAGCTGAGAAGTCCACTAATAATGCAACTTCCGGATACGACGCTCTATTCGTGCGTGACACGGTACCTGACAGCACCATTATGTCGCCAAACAAGGTGTTCCGTCAGACCTGGACTCTCTATAACCCCGGCCCACTTGCGTGGCCTGCTGGAAGTGACGTACGCTTTGTTGGTGGTGATTCAATGTTCAATGTCGATACCAACCACCCCTTGAGCCTAGACTCTATCTCTGCTGCTATGGAAAGCAACAAGCTGTCAGAGCCCCTAGAGTCCGGTCAGAGCGCCGACTTCACTGCAACACTTAAAGCTCCCAGTCGAGTAGGCACTGCCATCTCGTACTGGCGACTGAAGCTCCCAAATGGCATGCCTTTCGGTCATAGACTGTGGTGTGAAATCCAAGTACGGGAAGATGCACCTTCTATTAAGAGCACGTCTAGCTTAGAGCCGGAGGGAGATCATGGCTCGGAAAGCACAGAAAGTCATATGATTTTCCCTAAATTGGAGAAGGAGTCTCCTGACGCAAGTGCCCATGAAGAGGGCATTGTAGCACCAGCGGCACCCTCCGTGTCCAACCCGTCCGAGCAAGATGTTCTGGAAGATGTGGAGAGTTTGTCTTTGGGTGATCATGAAACGGAGAACGGATTCTTAACTGATGAGGAGTATGACATTCTGGATGCCAGTGACCAGGAATATATGGATGCCAAATCGCGTGAGTGATTCTTTTGGGCCTTGTTATTGGGTGCTAGCAGGAAGGTCATGCACTGATCACGGCGGATTTTGTCATATGGAAAGGAGGAGTTGGTCAGGTAAGGATGAAAACAATTTGCAGTGTGTTTGGCGAAAAGAAAATCTGGAAGCCAGTTTGGAACTTGTTTACTGTGTTATTCATTGTCTAATTTGATTCCGCGTGCGGCCATTTCAAGGGATAATAATATTGGATCTCCTCGTCTACGTTGTTCTAAAACTGCCTAACATCGAGGTTGGAATGACAAACGGAAAAAATGGATTATGTTTTCTCGGTAGACGACCGTGCCCGTATTGTAGAGTGTACTCCGTAGACCACCGTGACGATCTTATCTTTTTTCTTTTCTTCTCCACTATGTTTACTCAACTGTGTTCCACATTCCGAGGTCCTTTTCGGCCTCAAGTACTAGCAACGTCTTGTTGATTTGTCGATCGTCTCAGTTACGCTCCACTCCGGTCTTTGGATGTACTCCGGAGTATGGAGTCTATGAACAGCAGGTACACGTACATTGTTGTTGATCCGTTGGAGGGGGCCGATGACCCATATAAATGCCCGCCATCTCTCCAATACTAAATGAACGTGTTCATCGAAGAATCGCACCTGCCGAGTAGTATCTTCCGCTCCTTCCAGCCACAAGCTATATTATATATATATATCTCTACCCCCCTCTATCTAATTTAATTGTGTTGGTGAATGCTACCGCTGTCACCATCTTTCTGTCCCTCCCTCACCGGCATATCATACCTGGTGCTGTCGAGATAAATCCCCAGCGGTGCCCCTCACGGATATTCGAAAACGACAGAACAAAGTGTAACACCGCCATGGGGAATTTACTCAATCTTGCTATCCTCACCATTTTGGTGGCGACGCTATACGGCCCTGTACACCGGCAGCTGACGGTGTTGGGAGTGCTCCGGAAAGCCACAGACGAGGTAAGATTGGCAGAGCAACAGGCCTTCCACAGAATTGAGGACACGATGCAATGTGAAGACCTACATTACTACACTCCTTCCCATAAGATTTTCACCGCCTGTGAAGACTCGGTGCTGCCCCGATTCAAGTGGTTTCCTCCCCTAGGGAATTTCGAAGGGCCGGTAGATTCGACCGGGTCCATCCACGTCATTGATCCCAGGGTGAGCTTGTCCGTATCTTTCGCTCTCAAGCTGTGGAACTGAACTGAATCGGATGTACCCTATCTAGACAATGAAGTCGACACGTCTAGCCTTTGAAAACTTTGCTGGTCCCTTAATCACACATGGGATAGAAGTCCTGGAAGACCCCGACAGTCCCGATGCCGTCTATATCTTTGTTGTGAACCATTTGCCGAATATGGTGTACTACCATGCTGGTCCGCATTCCCAGGAAATTCCGAAGGCGCGCTCGCAGATTGAGCTCTTTCATCATGTTCTGGGAACTAAAACGGTCCGGCATGTGCGCTCCATCAGGCATTCGTTGATCGTTACCCCGAATGACATCATTGCTGAGAGTCCTCTCTCTTTTTATGTCACTAATGACCACTTCTACCGTGAAGGCTTCAAGCGTCACATTGAGGATCTTTTTCCTGTAGCCAAGTGGTCTAACATCGTGCATATTCAACTGGACAGTCTCGAATCAGAGCACGCAGAAACCGGCGTTGATGCTAAAGTGGCGTTGACTGGATTACAAAACAATAACGGTCTTGGGCATGGCCAATCGAAGAGGGAACTACTCATCTCTAATGCTATCGGCGGTATCATGTACCGTGGCCGGATGAACCCTGAAACCCGCAATATCTCTATCGTGGACGAGGTGCATTTCGATAGTTCTATCGACAACCCGAGCTATTATGCGGATCCATACCGGACTTCCTCTGATGATGCCAGTGGCTACGTGCTCGCAGGGCTACTACGATCTATCGACCTAGCTAAGACTCATGCCAATCCAAATGGTAAAGACGGTGCTATGGTGTGGCATACACGTCCCAAAGCTGCAAAGGAGGAAGGGGATGTCGTAGAGTGGGAGACACGTTTGATATTTGAAGATGATGGAGCGAACATTAGGTCGAGTAGCACAGCATTGTTAGTTCCCATTGAGCCGAAGCCCCAAGAGAAGAAGAAAGCGTGGCTGTTTGTAACGGGGTTTATCTCAGAAAGTGTTATTGCTGTTGAAGTCTTGCTGTAATGCTTCAAGAGAGAATACCTTGCGGTGACGGGTTACGGGGAATGTCCACTAAACAAAATCATGTGGGTTCCAGAGCTGTGGTGACACGAAAGCAGATTAATGGAACATGACTTAGGGATAAATGGCTAGCCAAGAAGATACCACAAAGAGGTGTAACATCATTGTTCGAAGCTGATTCAATTTATTTGCTTCAAAGCTTTCACAACATCCTCTGTCTTCATGACGTCGGCGAACTCGCCTTCTAGGCTGGCCACTGAGACGGCATGGACAGTCTCAGCATCGAAACCCCCCTTTGCCCAAGTTGCCGTAGCATCAGCAATGAGGATGATGCGTCCCCGATCCACGCGGCCCTGGTTATGTATGCCAGCTTCGGGGTCAAGTGTCGGGAGCCCGTCGGGATACCGGTCCACAACCTCTAAGTTCGCTGCCATGCGTACCGTGGTCGATACGCAATGGTCCGTTGTAAGACCGGCAAAAAGAACCTGTCGAATCCCTCGAGTACGAAGATGTGCTTCCAGGTTGGTCCCTATGAAGCTGGAATTGACACACTTCCACATAATCACTTCAGATCCGTCCGACGCCGGCAGGGCGACATCGAGTGGCTGGATACCGTTTCCGGGGTCATTGCGGTGGAGAGGGGAATTTGGTGTAGTCGACGAATGGAAGACGTGAATGATTTCCTTAGCGTTCCCCCCTCCTGTTTTGTTCTTGATAGCGGCTCGGAAGGCCTGGATGAGGGATAGGATGTTGTCCTCGTAGGACGGATTAGAGCGGGAGGTCCCCCAGTAAGTTGGGTGAGTGAAAGCTGCTTGGTTGTCAATGAGCACCAGGGCCGTGGGGAGATTCAAGTCAAGAGACATTTTGTTTGTTTGCTTGTTTGTATGTATGTATGTATGTACATACATATAAGTTGTATTGTCCGTGGTGGTTGGAATGGTGAGATGATATAAATCAATCCCAATTACTATATAGAATAGCTCATGGAGGGTGAGTCATTGCTGTTGACTAATGTCACGATTGCATCGAATTTCTAAGGAGAACGAGTTCCCTTCCAAGTATGTTGCGTTGATGACATGAAAGTCGATGACAACATAGTAAGTAACATGACTGCCTGCCTGCCTCGGCGCCTGAGGGGTTTCTTATTTCCTTTCTTTTTTTTTTTTTGTTTTATTTTTTAATGCCCGAGGCACCAAACACGCCGTTCTGGTTAGCAGGTTGTTTTGTCCTTCTCGGTATCACAACAACCACCTCCGAGGAGCAATCAATTCCTTTCCCCTGATGCTTTGGGAGAATGTCGTCCTCTCTCGGTACCCATAAGGCTCTCGTCGCCCGGTCTCATCCGCTGTTCTCTACCCCCCTTTCAGCTCTTCCACTGTATCAATTCCGGCGACGCGATATCTACCATATTTCCCGTGGCCACGCTTCATCTTCCAAAAGTCATGCTCGTCCCTCATCCTCCGCCCAGCCAGCCACGTCCAAAGTCCCTTCTACATCTTCAACTGCAACCACATCTCTAGCCAACGATGTCAACCCGCCGCCCAGCACACGCCCGGCCGATCTCAACCTTCCAGACCCGGTTTCACGCTCGGCCGCAACGGCTGATAAGCTAAAACGCTATATCGCAATGGGTCGTGCGTACCTTTCTTTCTACAAAACCGGCCTCAAAAACGTTTACCATAACTATCGCGCCTCATTGCCTATCCGTCGCTCGCTCGGTCTTCCCGCCTACCTCCCTACCTCTCCTCCGCCCGCTCCGCCGCTGTCCAGTTCTCAGAGCAAGAAGAGCACTGCATTCCGCAAAGCAATCGAGTCTGTTGAACTCAGCCGCTCAAGCTTCCAATTGGTCCGGCGCGCTGCCTACGATGTCCGGCGCATGATCCCTTTCACTCTCATTCTCATCGTGTGCGGGGAGATGACACCCTTGGCTGTTCTAGCCTTCGGGAACGCCGTCACGCCGTTCACCTGTCGTGTCCCTCGGCAACTTGAGAAGGACCGCGTGCAGCGAGTGGCCCGGAAACGCGCCGCTTTGGTCGCGCAGCAGGCGGCCAACAGTGGGTCAGTTACGCCGCCTGCCGCGGGGTCGGATCTGGAGCTGGATATTCTGGTCAAGATGTATACAAATCTGGAATGGATCGAGAGTGCCAGTGCTGAGGAAATCCTACGCGCGTGTGCGGTCCTGAATCTGGTGAAGACACATACTAGACCTTCCACGTTACTGTCGCTGTATCGGGCGAGGCTGGGGCGGTATGCAGAGTACTTGTCTTTGGATGATCAGTTGATTAGGCGCTGTGGGGGTGTTCGAGCGATGGAGGGTGCAGAGGTCAGGATTGCAGTGGAGGAGCGCGGTGGTGTTGGTGTGACAGAGGGTAAAGAGGGCTGGGACGCGGAGAGGGATGAGAGACGCTGGCTGGAGAAATGGCTAGAGAGGCGGTAGGTTGAATTATTATATGTACTATACTGTAGATTGAGTCTGTCTGTGTAAACTAGCGGGTCTATTTTCATAACATTTAGATACAGATATCTAGACGCAAACTGTTTCAATTACCCTCAACGATGGACTACTTAGCAAACTATAGTCTAGTCAATCAACATGCATTGACCAATTACCATAGCAAGCCTAAGTGCTGGTGAAAGGAGAGAGGGGGGGGTAGGGACTTCACTGTAAAACATGCCATTGATTCATGTTCATGTCCGCCCAGATTATCCGCTGTATATACGCCGCAATTTCCTCTACATAACGCTTGTATACCGCACGGAAATCGTATATCCTTATGTAAAGGAGTGAAAAAAATGGTATCTGCGCTAATATTCCAATATTAGAAAAAAAAAAGAAAAAACAAAAGTAATAATAATAGTGGTGGATTCAATGAGCGTTGGGCCTTCCCGCCACCTGTGCTGCGTTACGGACTTGCTTAGCCCAGCGTAATCCGCAACTGTTGCAAAGGTCGCGCTCCCCACTAGGCCCTCGGCGCCATTCGGGTGTTTTCTTGGTCTGGCATATGGCACAACTTTTCTCTACTGATGCGGTGCTCTGCTTGCGCTTCCGCTTCTTTCTGCGGGTAAGCAATTTCTGCAGCTCATCGGAGAGCGTTCGGTTCTGCTTTTCCAGTTCTCGAAGCTCAACCTGCCAGCTTGAACCTCTTGTTGGCACCAGCTCTGTGAAAAATGGGAGCTCTTGAACCTGGGGTTTCGCTTGTTTACCGTGTCCCGCTATACCAGAAACACCTGAAACTAATTGCCGATGAATATTGGAGTCACCCAAGTTTCTGTTGGGCGGGGGTGCTGAATTCGACTCATCATTGCCTCCCTGCGGGGTTTTTGGGAAACTAGTCTGGGCCACAAGGAACGAGGGTCTAATGCCTTCCTTGGTATCCCCAGGGTATAGGGTGGTCTGCGCCGGCAGCATATGACCCTTTTTATGACGGATTTTATGGCTAAAAGTGGCCCGTTGGCCCGTACGAGCCACTGCCAGAGCCTTCTGCGCCTCCACCCGCGAATCCATCAGTTCTTGCAAACTCTTGCCAATCAGCTCATCAGGCATACGACCCAGCACTGGGCGCGCCTTAGAGGTCATGAACAGAACAATTCCAGACTTTGACAACTTGGCCCACACATCAGTTTCGGCCAAACTACCGTGTCCTATGCTCGCGATATGGTCGAGACAGTATACGAGGCGAGGCCGTCCGACAAGGACCATGAACTGCCGCCCTCGTTCTCCCATGCGCCATGAACCATGACTCTCAAGCCAAATATATCCGCTGTATTTCTTCCGTATCCTAAACACGACACTAACCGGGTCAGTGGTGGTGCAGGCCCGTAGGTCACGGATGACTGGACCAATATCACTAGGATGGCAGACCGTCGACAGCGTCTTGCCCACGAGTTCAATCGGCTCGTACTCCAGTACTTTTCGGCAAGACGGGGACAAATAGAGAAATTCGCCTTCGAGCGATAAAGCATGTATTATGTCATCTGTGTTCTCAACTAGTACGCGATCCAAGTAGTTCCTATAGGTCAACGTCGAATTATTAAGACTCTTCAGTATGGTCGACACCTGGTCGGTCGTGAACCAAGTGGCTAAATCGGGGTGCGACCGATATATGTCAGGAGGCGGTACGACATAATTTGGCAGCCGGCTCCTTTGGTAGTTGATCGTATAAGTACCATCTGTATAGCTTTTTGTCAGCTTGATATGCTGGACACCATCAGGCTTGGACCCTACTCGGATTTCTCCTCGTGACGGCATCGGGTGTCTCAACCAGGTCAACCTGGAACCCCACGTAAAAGCGATATTCCTGAGAGCTCCAGCGAATGGGAATCATTGTTATCAGATTCATAAATGGTTGTCCACCCTTCCGGTAATTGATGAGACTGGCTTGAATCTCTGTTCGGTCCTCGATTGTGGACCGCAAGCGCGAGGTGGTTTGGTCATCGACAAAAGTTCGTTTCATGCCTTTCTGGACAACACCTTCTGGCCCTTGGAGAAACCGACAGTTTTGACCTACGATCTCCTGCTCCGTATAGCCGGTAAGTCGTTCAAATGCTTCGGAGACATAGATGATTGGGTGATCATTTTGAGTTATATCGCAAAGTACAAACGCGCACGATAAATCAACTGCGCCGATATTGATTTTAGGATTCGGTCTCGACACTACTTCGGCCTACAACAAAGACCAATGGGTAGAAGTTAGACGCTTTAACGTTCTATGGCGCTTGGCTTTGCTTTAGAATCGCAAACCTACCAAGACGCCCATTATATCGAAGCCGCTACTTGAATAGATGCTGGCATATTGTGAAGTCTCATCAACCGCCGACTTAGGATGAGGTGGTAGAGGAGCTTTCAGACGGTATCCCGCATTAGTCATATTTCAACGTACGCGGACATAAGGAACCAATTTGCGTAGGAGCAAACCTACCCTTTGTTGGGGATGGTCTCTTTGGTTGAATGAAGCGATGAGAGGACGCGGGAACCGATGACTGAAACCCTCGATTTCGCCTACGTTGTGATGGCTGGCCTGCGGGTTGGGGGAAAGTAGTCGAGGGTTGTTCATTAAGCGTTCCCGTTGGCTGTGCAGGCGTGGTCAGTTCCGCGTGGCTGGGCGGTGCCTGATATGTATTCAAAATGGGTCCTTGTGCTTGCATAGTAGAATAAGCCACCGAGGGATTCAGATTCATGGGCTGCGACGGTAAACAAGTGTTGTGGAAAGGAAGAGCCTGCTGTCCCTGGAAGTTTTCTAGCGGCATGGCTGGGAACGGAGATTGGAAGGCATTGAGAGCAAACGGATCGCCTGTATTTATAGCCGTGAGTGTTGAACCTCCAAGAGCAGAAAGTGGATCGTATAGGAGCATAGCATTAGACGTTCGGTCTCCGAGGTTCTCAGCGGGCATGGGATGCACCGGTAGATTGAGGGACAGCCCAGCCGTGTGTGACGGGAAGACAAAAGAGGCACTATTAGCAACCAGATCTGGTATCTGTGATTGATAGGCATAACTAGCTGCGTGCATCTGGTCCGGTGTTGTGAAGGGCATCATCGACTGGGCATAGTGATCACTAGATGATTGAGGATAATCAACTCGATGGTCAGATGCAGGTACTGTATACTGCGCATCATAATAGCCGTCCTTGAATCCTTCCATGCTGTGGTTAACCCCCTTGAAGACAGTGCTCGATCGATTCGATTTGACAGTTTAAACCAATGAGCGCAGCGCATCGACGCAGGCTGGTCGATGCGTTAAGAGATGAAGACCACCGCACGCACTCAGACGTCCATATAGAACCCAGTCAGAAATCAGATGAGTAAGCACCAGTACCAAAGTCTTTAGGGGAGAGGGAGCGGAAGAAGATTGAAAGATGGAATGAGTCCGAACGACGCTTAATATGAGACAATTTAATGATGATACATTACACTAACAGGGAGTGGAGGCAAAAGCAACGAGAGACCTACAGGATTGATTTTGCATCAGGTAATGGACCTATGTCAGAAGCTAAAAGCCCAATAATGGCAACAGGAAGTGAAATTGATCATATACGACGACTGTTGACAGGGACGGTTTTCTACGAGCGTCGATGTCGACATGCAAGTGCGGGCCGTAGCAAGCGGGATCTTACCAATAGGAGGGGCTTGTTGAGCCAGCAACAAAAGTGATGTGTCAAAAAATGAGAAAAATAGAAAAAATAAAAATAAAATAAAATAAAAGATCAAAGACTACCCCAGCAGGGTTTTGTGATAGATCACTTGGGGTGATGGAGAAAAGAGAATGGTGAAGTAATGAGTGTGTAAGTGGGTGGGTGGGTGAAAGAAAAAGAAAATTAAGTTAGAATGAAGGATATTTATTAGGAGAGTTACGGCATTTTCTTTTATATATGTATGTGTATATATATATAAGAAAAACAAAGGAAGAGATGGAAGAGGAAGGCGGGAAAATTAATACAATAATTGATACATACATAGGATGTTGTACTGGTACAACACAATAGTTCACGTGATAGAGGGTGTTCTTTTCCTGGTTCGAGAAATATCTTCTGATGAGACCTGATAGAAGTAATTTTTGTTCTGTTAAATCAAGATCAATCAGATTATATCGGAGTAGCAAAGAGGGAATTCATTCAAAGCCGATCCACTCAGTGCATGTTAATACTACTATTGGGGACATTTCACAACAGTCCTAATTTTAGCATCATTATTGGCTCTATTTGGAAAACAAATTGCGCAATCCAAATCATCCGCATGTTTCTGTTAGATATAAACTATCTAGGTACTTGTCTCAGACATCTTGATGTATGCTACGTTGAACTTAATTCCAACTAAATAATGTACTATACCGGCATTGCATTGATATCAAACTTTATTAATAAACTATAGTCCACCTTAACTCTTGCTTGCCCCTTGAAACATCGTGCACTTACATAAAATCCCCAAGTTCATCATTATTGATGTTTGTCATTCGTTTAGATTTCGCTATCAAGTTAAATCGCTTATCTTGGTTTAATTCAATTTGATCGACACAGCTCATTTGCTTCCCCCCTTTCTCTCTCTTTTTTAATTTTCTTTTATAAACTAAAAACTCCCAATGCCCCTCTCCTGACCGAGGAAGAACATTAGCTTTGAGACCGGACGAATTCTTAATAACCGTGCCTCACACCTTTCTCAAATTAATTTGTCTTCCCCAATATCTCAACCTCTTTCGACCTGTTGGGCTTATTGTTCTACGCCTTCTCTAGGTTAATACCACTTACCGCGCAGATAGACCCACTGTCACAACCCGAGAGATGGCGGACGCGCCAAACAAAATCACCATCACGATATGTGGAGATGGCGGATGTGGTATGCTGTGCAATGATATGGCACTTTCTTTTTCTTGTCTTCTGAAACCCTCCGCACCGGCAATTGAGATCCGCCATGTATAACCGGAATTCGAGTTGGGCTTGGAAATTGTTTGTCGTCTTGCGCCATGAAGCCTAGACTGATTCAGTACGCTACATAGGAAAGTCGTCCATTACCCTTCGATTAGTTCGCAGCCAATGGATTCACGAGTAAGTTTCTGCTTGGTCAGCCTTCCTACAGTGAACAATTTAGTACATCAAATGAGTACCTTGATCAACCGGACTGAATCCGTGCAACGTGTCTAGGTACGATCCTACTATCGGTAATCCATCACCCTTATCCGCCCACCCTTGATTCGACAACATGGCCCTTCTAACATCGAAGACGTTCGTTGGAAACTGTAGAAGATTCATACTCGGTTACACGGACGGTGGATGGCGTTCCCTACTTCTTAGCTATCACCGATACCGCTGGTCAGGAAGAATATCGCGGACTGTGGGCGGCATCCAACCTAAAATCAGACGCTTTCCTTCTCGTCTACGACATTACGAATGCTTCTAGTTTAAGCGCGTTGGATTATTTCATGGAAATGATTGATATTGAGGCTGAACAACGGGTGGAAGACAACCAGCGCTTGCTGAAGGAACTGGGAGACAGCGCACAAGGCTTAGAAGTGGGCATGCCTCCCCCTGTCAAGATTATCGCAGGAAACAAGTGCGACCTTAAAGAAGGACGGGTCATCGGTGCTAAAGAAGGTCTGGAATATGCGCGGAAACATGGCTGTGGTTTCATGGAAACAAGTGCAAGAGAGATGGTCAACATCGAGGAAACCTTTGCCCGTATACACCACCTCTTCCCCAATTAATTTATTTTTTTTTTTAGTGTCTAACACTCTTATAGTTTTAGTGCGTCGTGTGGTGGAGGCCCGTAAGCAGCATTACCAGAAAGACATTCAAGCCACCAATATACCACAAACTGCAGGGTCTTCGCCTGCAAAACGTTCCGGCGCTACGGATCAAAATAAAGGCGCTGCTTTGAAGTCATCTAACGAGGAAGGCTCACGTCTTCGGTCTTTATGCTGTGGAATATCCAGTGGAAAGGAACGAAAAATTGAGAACAAGGGCTCCGTATTGGGACACGAGGCATCATCAAAATCGGTCGCACCGCGCTTGTGGAGGCGTTTGAGTTGCTGGTAGGCTCGCAGAATGTGTTAGCGCAGAGTCTATCCCTGGTCTTGTTCCTGTTCTTTTGGCTTATTTATTACTATTATATATTGTGTGTGTGTGTGTGTGTGTGTGTGTGTGTGTGTGTACTTTTTTTGCCCATCTTCTTTATCTTCATATACCCCTTCGGCTTTGTCAGCTTGCCACGTTGTTAGCTCTCTGCGTCTGACACAGTTTTGTACAACTTTCAAATTGTATATTACTTTTTTTTTATTTATTTTCTTCTCCCGTTTCTTTCTTTCTATACCTCGTTCTTCCCTATTCCTTTACCTAGCTGAAACTGCTTGGATCTAAGGTCGATAAGATAATGAGACGAAAGATAAAAAAATAAAAGTGGGGAGCGAACGTTTGAAAATGGTCACACTGGGGTCATGCGAGACGCTTCAGTTTAGCATGCAAGGGACCAAGGAACAATGCCACCTATCCACACTCGCGAGTACCTTAACATACTCGTCAGTTAACATGCATCTCTGGAGATTCTAGCCAGAACAGATTCTGATGAGCGACAGTAGAAGTCATTTGATTGCGGCGCGCCAATTAGGATCGCTGAATGACGCCAACTGGATGCCATCATTACAAGCCTAATGTAGATTGCCCCATTAAGACTCACTATATAGACCAAATGGTTCTGGTTGTCTAGAGCCAAGGTAAACCGGTGAACTTGGGCTCAATGCAACATGAACCAACGAACCAGGTGTCTCATTCCAAAAGTCCTTGGGTCATTGATCGTATGGCCAAAAGTCTATCTATGTTAGGATCAAAACAATGGCGCAAGGATGAAGTCAAATCTGAGGGTAGAAGATTTTTCGAGGCCGATCGCCGAGAACACGGTGATTGAAAACGGCGATTGACATAACGTGATACTGACATTATATTCTCTTTGAAGATAGCTAATTTCATTTTGGTATGGTTCCCCTCCCCCCTCCCCGCTTCCCTTTTCGTTTTATTTGTCACTAACATATTTCACACTTTTGTCAAGATGACATGGATCGAATGCAAAGGGGGAAAGGGCGAGTCTGCGAATCATCATCTCCAACATTCCATGTTCATGGTTCTCACATCGTGTGCCAACGTCATTGACTATTATTAGTGGAACAATCAAATAGAGATATGGCACCAACAATCCGTTAGCACACCCTTCTGTACTTGACCTAGGTGGATAGCATAGTGGGATAACTAGATATGAACGGGGTAAAAATAAGGACAAGAAAATTACGGCATTAGATAATGATAACAAAAAAGTAAAAATAAAAAACTTCTGAGATCAAGCCAGAAATGGAAAATACCTCATTCAACCTTAGGTGATCTGGCACTATGACCTGTGCTAGACTGCACTACGTCTACCGATGGAGCTATCTATGCAGTGTGCGACAAGTGGCAATGATCGTTTGGGGGCCCGTCTTCTGTTAAGCTTTTAGGAGAATCATCCGAGTTTCCAGGGTTGGGCTCGTGATCATAGACGGGCACTAAATGGCCGAAGGGAGAACATTCGATGCATGGATTCCAATGTACTCCGTACACTCTAAGACTAAAAGGACCAAATCCTCCGACTTGACTATTCGGCATGCGTTTGCCGAGAGAAGGTGGAAACGGTGATCAAAGAGAAACTCCTCCTGTTGTGCCGTAATGCCGTTTTATGCAAAGAGCAGATGTCATACCAGTAGTAGTACTCCGTATGTACATACTCTCGAAGAGTAAATGTATGGTATTGTAATCATACCGATATATCTCTGTATGGGTGTGTATTTTGTGAAATAAAAAAGGTGTAAAATCTGGGTTGACCCTGACTATGTTTGGAAGAACAATCGTCAGAAGTCACCAATTCCTGATGACCCTAACCTACCCAAACAGGTTCTAACAATTAAGGTCTGTTACAAACTATACTTCTATCGAAAATCGACGGAGAACGGGGATCCAATACTACTCGGATATACGGAGTCTAAGCACAAAATACAATCCGAACTGACAAAAATTGAACCTTGGCATAATTAGAGAGAGAGAAAAAAAATTTTTTTTTTCTATGTTGATGTAATCAACACTTGACTCAAACGAGAATTATTGCTGATTTAGGAAATCCAAAACATATGGAGCTAGGGAAGATGGCACCTCCGAGGTCCGAGCCAAGGCCTCCGACCCCGAGTACAAGTCCTCCCGCTTTACCCGCACTTCCGCGCTCCGTGGTATGGTAACTCGTATCCGGTTTACTCAACTGTTACTACAGTAAGATATTAGGTATTTGGTAATGTATTAAATGTCAATCAGTATTTATGTTACAGTGAGATGTGCTTCTCAACTTGTTTGAAGATGGTCCTTCTTCCTCTTGGAAATGTTTGTTGTTTTACAAAAAGCTACTGCAGCTCGAGCATCACAATATATAATTCAGCCTGCACAAATGAGACAGTTCGTTTGCCGTTTGACCAGAAGTAACCGTAGGAGTCAGGTATGGACAGACCATGTATTACAGAAGCTCCACCGCATAACCTACTGCACTAGGACGAGACCAATGATCGCCCACCCATACTTTGCTCTTCCTATAGTGCGTCAGTTGTAGTAAGACGGAGTACATACGTTCCTTCGTCAGGCTTTAATAATATTAATTAGAAGTAAGAACTAGATCCATTACAAAAAGTAAATAAGGAACTGAGAAAAATAATTTTTTCGAAAGAAAAAAACAATAAATAAAAAAATAAAAATCATAATTGGAAACTTGAGTAATCACCCAGTAATATTACCCATCGCCATAGCCATCATCATCCATCAACCTACTCCACGAGTACAGGTTAGTTAAAAGCAAGTTCAGACCCTCCAGAAGCCCATACTTCCTTCGTATTTCAGCGGCTACCATATAACTCTCACATACCTCTCCCCATAGTCACTGCAACCATCGCCGTTCCAGTTCTTGGTTCCAATCACTCTGGTCATTACTCATTACCTCGTCTTCCCATGCTACTGACGCCTCGCATTGGTCCTTGATTTTGTCCACCCGTTGGCCTTTTCAAACTTTCTGTCTCCTTCTCCCCGACATCGTTATATCATCGACCAACCTTGACGCATTGTCGATCCCTTTTTGACTATTGCAACACCACAACGCAAAAGGATCCCCCAGAACGCGAATGAAGAATAACTGGAAGAATATCACGTACAAACCCAACTTTTAATTCCCGGTGGTCATAGGATTATTTTCTATTCTTTTACTTCTTCCAATTATCCTCTTTATTCATTATTATTACTATTGTTATTAGTTTTCTTATCATCTCAATTTCTGCGGTCTCCTATATTTTCTACTTTTTTACTTTCCGTCACCGCCCACATCTATATAGGTATACTACAATGACAGCACGCCAATCATCACCTACATCAGACAACTCTCATTCGGACAACAATGTTCGCAAGAGGGTATGTAAGGCATGCGATCGGTGCAGACTGAAGAAATCTAAGGTAAGCAAGTTCGAGGCCCAAGCATCAGCACGCTCTGATGCACTGACCGGTGCAGTGTGATGGAGGCAACCCATGTGGTCGCTGTAGGACAGACAATGCCATTTGTGTTTTTGGCGAGAGGAAGAAGGCTCACGATAAAGTGTACCCTAAGGGGTGAGCTTGCACCTGGCATTTATGATTTGTGTATGGTTTCTCCGCAGGACTTGATCGCTAACCTTATCCTATTCGGGTGTAGATATGTTGAGATGCTCGAGCAACAACAAGCGTGGCTAGTGTATGGGCTTCAAGAGCTATATCGACGTACCACTGAAGGAGAAGGGTGGCCTGGGGAACCATTGAAATGCGAAGCCAACGGCCACCCCCTCACTCACGACCTGCTCACCCGGTTGGGCGCTTTGGACCAGAGCAAAGGCGAGCGTTTTGAGGAAAACACCGAGTCTATGCAGCAAGAACTATGGAAGCAGAACGCAGGGCATATGCAGCGCCAGGACTCGTCAGACGGCAGTTCAGAAAGCGCACAATCGCCCATTCTTCCCACCCGTTTCTCAGATGCATTTGCGCGACAACCACTTACTCCACCTACTTTCAGCCCTCCTTTGCGGCAAGGACCTACAATCAAGACGGAGCCTCAAGTTGTGCCAAATACACCTAGCTTCATTCCACCGATGGCTATGCACGGGGACGTGGTCAACCCTCTCGCATTACAAGATCCACAACAATGGTCGAATAGCCTAGGGAGTTTCGACGATATGGACCTTATGGCGACTGCCGATTACAACAGCCTGTCATTCGATGACCCAGTCTCTTCTCCGATGTTCAATCGCCAAATTCCAATGAATTGCATGTCGTATATGGATGCAAAGAATGACTACGAAGATATTAGTCAATTTTTGAATGCGAATCCACCGGAAATAACGTCTAGCTGAGCCGCACATATCGACGGAAAGTTACGCTAGCGAAGCATGGCTTTCTTCTGCTTCGACGATACTTGCATACGCCTATGACGTGACGCATGTACACTACACATGTTTTTTCTTCGATTTTCTGAATGTTGTGGTTTCTAACTGATGTTATTTCTGGGCGGTGGCTCTGTTTACGATAAGGTTGAAGGGTCCATCCCACTGTACAGTCTTGTCCATTTGTTTCGGGGTTACTAGTCTCACATCGTGAATGCGACACTCGAACGAGATCTGACACAAACGCCCCTTTGGTGCTCTGGAGTTGGTAGGTAAAACATTGGCTGGGTTTATGGAGCTATGGAGAGGATTATTCTTCCCATTTTTAACTTTATTATTCTTCTTACTTCCTTCACGTGTGTATCGAGGGTTACCACTTAGTTTTGTGAAATAGTCGACTTATTCGGCGTCCGGTTTGGGATGTCTTACATATCATGATATAGAAGCATGAACCGTGCAGTTCGGTCAATATAATTGTCGGATTCTCTTCACATATATCCGCTTGGGTTTCAAAGAATTAGTTCGACTTTTTCATACAGGCCAGGAACAGGTGGAGTGACGTCGAGAGTGGATGACTAATCGGCAACGGAGACATCGATGATTCATCTCCGATTCTTATCTCCGCCCCGCCTGTACATACAGTAGGTATTTGATGACGGGCTTCTACTAGTACCACTGTATGTATGTTCCTCGATCGAAACGGCTTCTGGAGCTGAATGATAGCGCAGGATATTTTCGAGACGGTGTTAGGTACTATGGCTGGCCTGGTCTTGTGTTAACAATTAGTAGCCAAAAAAAAAAAAAAAAGAAAGCAAGAAAGAAAGATAAGAAAAGAAAAGTAGCTAACCTGTTCACAGAGCTACTGCTAGGTGGTGTATCGTATTTCGCTTTACTGTTACTTCTTCCAGTAGTACTACGAAGTTCGAAGGGTGGTTGGATCGTCAAGAACGAGAAGGTCAAAGCCCCACTCGTGGACCCTCTGGCACGGTGCCGGTCCAGGCCAACCGAACTTGTGAAAGAGGAAAAAGAAAAAAGAATTATAATTATAATTCCGTTTTTAGGATAATTCCGTAACTGCCAAAATCCGGACGACCGAGCCGATTGCTGCCTTGCTGACACCCGGCTCTCTTATTTTCATGTTGCAATTTAATTTTTGTTTTTTATATTTTATTTTTATGTTTTCTGCGCTCTCATTCAGTACGTACAAAGTATTTCTTTTTGAACTTTCCGAATCGCTTGCCTCATATGGGCTGGGCTAAACCTTGCTCTTCCTCCGTATCGTGGTGGAGTTGATTCTGGCCGCTGCTTTAGGTTTTTTTCTAGGTTCCTTTCTCGCTTGTCTCGTCCTTTCCTGTAATAATTATCACGTATCATCGAAGCCGCCTCAGATAGATAAGGTTGACAGAGACTAATCCAACCCCTTCTTTGCCCGCGCAGGATGGGGCGTCACGATGGAGTAATGCTAGTGTCATCTGGGAGATGAGGAGTATACGGCCGATTAATAAGCGTTGTCGTTTGCTTTGAAATGAGTCAAAAAAGTCACTCCGGATCCTTTTGTAAGCAACCAATCGGCGAGATAAGAGATGGAAGCTTCTGCCAGCTCACCCTATAATCCGGTATCCGATACGATGACGATCCCTATATAAACGCAAAGTGACGAGTCAAGGTGTTTGAAGCAGTGATAGGAATTCCATGGGGCGCAAAGCTTTCTCGCGGCATTGGATATTGCCATTTCAGGTAATACGCTTTGGCATGGATCGTATGTACTATGATGTATATAGTATAGAGGACATCCCACCGGCACTACTAACGTAAGGTTGGCGATCTTGGAAATTCTCTAGGTTGACACTTGTGAGGCCGTAGAGTTCTCCACGGACGATGGAGACATTTAGATTGGGTGAATTATGTTTACACCAGACAGCTAAACACAGTATCGTATATACCCGAAGCATTGGGTAAGGCATACGGAGTACTGCAAGAACTTCTCCGTACCATGAGACGGAGCCTTCTCCTAGACTAAAACTAGGGACTCGGTATCGGCACGTCCGCGCCCGCGGGCACCGATATTTCCGTTCGATCGGTATGTCTACGTTCCGAGACTCTGGATCGAACCACTCGACTTGTTACGGGCACGACAATCGTCCTTGAGGCGGTAAATATGGGGTATAGGGGCTTAGGTCATGGCGGCATTCTAGAAAAACGAATGCTCCACAAATGCTCCAGGAAAATACAGAATAGGGCACAAGGAAGAAAGGAGAACCTTTTTAGGCCCTGAGTGTTATCTATGCAATTCACAGCCTCGAAATTTTGTAACGTAACATACCTCGTGAACGATGTTGCTGGATATGACGCCTTGAGATCCACAAAATAAACAAAGTCTCATTTCACGATCTTGAGGACAGACTCTTGTGGTGTGGTGGTCTGAACACGGCATCATTTGCTAACCGATGTATCAGGTAGGCATATCGCCCTTGCGACGATGTAAGAAATGAATGGAGTGGTTCAGCATGTACTCAGTATGGACGTACAAAACAGGCATCTGAATATGCCACCTTTTCGCTTTTCAACCCGCACTACTCATCCACCCATTCTACCCTATCAATCATTCGCTTAGATACGGTAAGTAGATCGTGGAGTATATAGTACTCTATTGAGTTTATTTGAACTTACCGGGCAGAGCCTCAAACAATATACCTCAATGTCTCGAACCTATATCCAACAGATGGATTCTCCGGGGTATTGCCGAAAGAGGAATACTTTTGTAGGCACGCGAGGGCAACACTGCAATCCATTAAAACAGTACCAATTGCTTTGTTGAACAGGTCAATTGCAGCTGATGGGTATTGGTGGATTATCCCCCTCTCGGTTAAAATATCAATATATGCATCCATCTCGGGTCATTATGGCGGTCGTACTGTGTAAAGGGGCTTCTGATATTAGCCTAAAGGGCCTTTGGCACAACTCCTGCGGGGTACGGAGTAGTGCCCCTCGTTTATATTTGATCTCCCCGTCCTGTTCAGTTGCGCCCATCAACTCACACAATTTGCTACTATCTCCGAAAGGGTACGAGGTGTCTTCAATAGGTAGGATTAAGACAATTGATACACCGAAAATGGCCGATGAACCATCAGTTAAATTCACATCCTTGGGCGCAATCATCCAAGAGCTCAACGTGGATGGCCAGAACATCGTCCTGGGATTCACTAAGAAGGAACTCTACGAGAAATACAACACCCCTTGGTTTGGCGCAACCATTGGTCGCGTAGCTAACAGAATCAAGCATGCAAAAATCCAAAATCTCAACAACCAAGAATATGAACTTGAGAAGAACAATGACCCTAACGCGCTGCATGGAGGTAGCCGTGGATGGGGCAGGCGGGACTTTGAGGGCCCTACTTTACTGCAGCGAAACGGGAAAGACACCTTACTTTATACCTATACGAGCCCCCATCTTGACGGAGGATACCCTGGCACGGTAGAGATCAAAGTCTTCTATACGGCAAGCAAAGAGGACAACCGTTCAGTGCTCTCGATCGAGTATGAGGTTGAAATAGTGGGTGATGAGTGCAACGAGACGATTGTCAACGTTACCAACCATAGGTATGTACCAGATGGGGGACTTAGGACAGACGTGAATTGCGGTTCACTAAAAAGTAATGATGGAGTATTTTGCTAAAGAGCTACATTGCTATAGTTATTTCAACCTCACTGGCGGCGAGACCATTGACGGCACCTCAGCTAAGCTCCTTACTCAACACTATCTGCCGCTCGACAATACCGGCATCCCGTTTGGAAGGATCGACGTACATCCTAGTAAAGTCACTGAGCCATTCACGATCGGGCCGAACAAAGAAGCTTTTGACGATGTCTTTGTTATGGATCGAGATGTCGCTGGGATCCCGTTGGATACGCGTGAGAGACCGCTCCAGCTACTCGCAGAGTTCCACCACCCAGTGTCGCGTATCAATCTACAGGTACACAGCACTGAGCCTGCGTTTCAGTTCTATACAGGCCAAGGAACCAATGTAGCTGCGGTTGACGGCAACCCAAGTCGAGGCCCGTTTTCCGGCTTCTGCATCGAGCCCAGCCGATTTGTCAACGCGATCAACGAACCGGATTGGCGACACATGGTTGTTTTGAAGAAGGGTGACAAGTATGGAAGCAAGATCGTGTATAAGACCTGGAAAGACCCGAAATGAATTGCCGGTTCTAGAATATTGTCATGCCACCGATGTGGAACCGATTGAAGGAGATTTTTTTCCCCTCTCTTTCTTTTCCCTCTTTGGCGTTTGCACAACCATCCGATTGTCACATGATGTGCCGATTACCCTTATCACTCTCAAATGTATCCGATGCATTTATCATCAAGTTCCAGTAGTCGTACGCTCCACAGTAAATAGATTTTGAGTCGTCAGTGGACGAGGTCTCGGCCTTGAATCAAGAAAACAAGGGGGTTTGAATAAAAACCAATTTTTTGTTTTTCTTTTTCTTTCTTTCTTTTTTTTTTTTTTTTCCCCTCTTTACTATATCCATTTCCCTTGTCAAATTTGTCAGTGCTGCAACGTGTCACTCCCCGCCATGTACATTTGCGTGGGTGCGGTTTGTTTTGGGTCATAATGGTTTAGTTCTGCAGGAGGGAAAATCGCTCAGTCTTCCAATTTCTCGACTGCCAAGAGTTTCTGGAATTGAGCTATTGCTTCTAGCGCCCCTTGAGTATGCTTTCTATGATTGTTGATCATCTCAGTAGTTCGTTACGGAATGGAGCAATTTATGAACTTTATAGGCCATGGTGCGCTTGAGAAATAATAGTCCGGATGATAGTAGAGGGAACCTGGAGTCTTAGCCTCAATGGCCATCACCAGCGATAAAAAACGGTAATCGAAATGGGTGGTGTGCAGTGGTGTCTGTACTGTACTACTGTGTATATACCTCAATCAATATGAAACCCATCAGTATTGTCAAGCACAGTAAGTACGGCGTACTCTGTACAGTGTACTGTACACAGTACCAGCCACGGATCTGGGGGATGCCGTTTTTGGCCGTGTAACGATACGTTACCACTTTGCTCGAGCTTTCAGACTCGGAACGGACAACAAAACTTACCGACGGAGCTTGGCAGCGATCTGTTTAGAGTACGGGAGTACTAAGTATACCGTAAAGTATACGGAGTAAGGTTCTGCTGAATTAACCAGTTTCTTGGCAAGGTATTCTTGAAGGGATCAACTTCTGTAGATCCGTAACTCCGGCTACCAAAAGTTAGGTCTCTCCGGCTTAAAGATTCCTTCCCTTGTCCGAGACGCCAAACTGGGAACGACTACGAAGCAGGAGCAACCGCAAATAGCTAAAGGAGATGCGAATCGCATTGGTCACAAGGTCGGGCGCAGTTGATCATCTCAGGAGTATTAGTAGTTTGAAAGCATTGTGGCTGATTTTATGTATAGAATCTATGCATATTAGCGTTGTTGTTTATTTTACCCCGCAACTCTGTTCGGATTGAATTTATACAGAGTACAGTTATGTACATACATGGAACAAAATAACCAAGTTAACATTTTATTAAGGTAATCCTTCATTTCACCATGCTAGGGTGATTATGCAATATGTATCGGCACACACACACACATACACACACACACACACTCTCTCTCTCTCTCTCTCTCTCTCTCTCTCTCCCTCCATATGCAAATGAAAGTTGAAGCAATCATTTCACCAGAAGCTCAATGCGCCTCGATCAAGTATTCCTGTTGCCTAGAGACGGGGGCAGTGCGACCCCACATAACTCTTCGCATTGCGTTGGCACTTCTTGGAAAACGTTCCCAGATGAAATCGCCTGCGAGATAAGGAGCGTCTCTTAAAGATGGCTGTGCTCTAGGAAGGAGCCTTGTTTTGTTTATTATATAAATAGTTCTAGAACTGATAGGTGTGTGGACGTCATGTGCCTTCGTATTTTCGCAACATACTTTTCTTCTCGCTGCCTAATTATCACGGACTGTGTATTTGTACTGTACATACGAACGAACGAACATGGGAATTAACAAAAAAAAATATGTTTGCGATGGAATTGACAGATACGGCTCTCTAGTCTCATAGGGTAAGTAGCGCGAGCGACCTATTCTTGGGTTTCAGTATGTACGTATATTGTACTCTGTAGATCCATACATACAGCAATGACTTCAAGTCACCCTCCACTCACGTGACCACCCCGGAACGTCCCGATAGTCTGCCCCGCGTGGGGTTTGATATCAACTTCCCCCTTGTGCTTGATGGGATTCCCATTCTTCCTTGGAGATCCATAGTCTATCTCAATAAACATCCCACATTTCAGGAAGACGAACACAAAGCGATGGCTTCTGCTTACGGGGACTTCCGTCACTTGCTACCTAGCAATTACAAACGCTTGATTACCTCCTGGCTCGAAGAGGACTGTCCCAGTTTTGACTATGGCGGTTTCGTCGTCGGGGAGTCGGACGGTGAGGCAAGGTTGTTGGGGAAAGCCAAGGTAACCCTCACACTCCGTGGATGTATGAGAAAATATGTATCTCTCGAAATACCTATCATTGCGTGCTAATCCATCTCCGTATCCAAAGGGAGTCGTTGCAGGTGTCCCTTTCGTCGATGAAGTTTTCGCTCAGTTAGGATGCACGTGAGTCAATTCTACATGACGCTAGACCTAACCTATACCATGCGATCAATATCTAAATGGCAGAAAAGCGTAGAATGGCACGTCCAAGAAGGCGAGTCCATTGAACCTATCAAACATTGCGCCACCGTGCGCGGGCCTATCCGCAAGATCCTCCTCGGAGAACGTGTCGCCCTCAATATCCTCGCCCGGTGCTCCGGTATCGCAACAAAAAGTGCTTCGCTAGTAGCTGCTCTCCGCACCCACGGTTGGAACGGAACGCTTGCTGGCACCCGTAAAACCACGCCTGGGTTCCGTGTGGTCGAAAAATATGGAATTCTTGTGGGAGGCGCTGATCCACACCGCCATGACCTCAGTTCGATGACAATGCTGAAGGATAACCATGTCTGGGCCTGTGCGAATAACCGTGCGGCTAAGGATGAGGCGGGTTCTACTTCGACCGAGTCCGTCGCGGCTGCTATACCTCGGGCGGTCCATGCAGCTAAGGTAGCTGGAGGCTTTGCGACCAAGGTGGAGGTTGAATGCCGAAGTGTCGAGGAGGCGAATGCGGCTATTGAGGCCGGGGCGGATGTGATCATGTTGGATAATTTCACACCAGACGGAGTTCGCGAAGCAGCTAAGCAACTTAAGCAAGGTTGGGCTGGCACGAAGCAGTCCTTCCTCATTGAAGTAAGTGGTGGGTTGAACGAGTCCAACGCTGCTTCGTACGCATGCTCGGACGTCGACATTATTTCCACTAGCTCGATTCACCAGGGTGTCGGCATCGTGGACTTTTCCCTCAAGGTTTCGCTGCGGTGAATACTCTGCTCTGTGATTGAGATTTGGATACACGGTACGTAAAATAGCTGAGTGACAACGTCATGTGTAGATGTGAATAGACAAAACTATGTATGTATGTATGTACTTTGTCAGCACGTTCCCACACGACTAAATGCCAACACTGGCGGTTGGTCTAGTCTTGTGAAACTATCAATATACCCAATACACGCAATGTTTGTGTCCCTATCAGCCCTACAATGCAACGTACGACGATTGTTTAGAGGGCTCGATTACGCCCGTCATAGGTATCGCGGCCATGTGGTGAATTTGAGTCGTTAAAGTACTTCTAGTCTAACTTCATCCCGCCTAACTATCAGTCCCCCAAACCAAGTACGAAGAGCACTATATAGCCTAACCCCTGGGATTACCCTATCGAGTAGTGAATAATTTCCATGAAAACAGAAACATCTGTGGCGGGCAACATGAATCGGATAGGATATTAGAAGTTAAAGAAAACGAGAGCCGAAAGCGATGGGTATATAAAGCATGCAAGAATGAACACAGAGAACCTGGATCAACATGAAGTGAGCTGGATTGGCCTGCTCAGGGTAAACAGAAAAGTCTCTCGGGATGCAAAACGAACTTGAGAACAAGACTGGCATGATTCTGAATGAAACCGGACGAGAGAAATGGACAGAAAAAAAAAAAAAAAAAAAGAAGGGCGGGGGCTCCGGAATAACTTAAAAACAAAACAGCGGGGAGAGGTGTTTAGCCGGAGACCAGGAGGGCGCTTCACTAAACCTCAATATCAACACATATCCCTTCTCCATCACTCGAGCTTGGGTCATCATCCCTGTGATTACCGTATCCGTCACCAGAGTCACGATCAGTTCCTTGAATCATCCTTAGATTCTGCCCTCGAGCCTGACCAGCGTTGTTGTCAACAGAATAATACATTGACATGTCTTTGCGCACACGCTCCCTCTCTAGTTGGGCTCGAAGCCTTTGGTTTTCAGCATCTCGCTCTTCAAGTCGCTTGCGGGCCCCGTTACGATCTAGCAGGCGTGCTTCCCTTTCTTGCTTCAGTCTTTTCTCCAGTTCGTGCAAGCGCTGAATCCATTTTTCATTATTCCCTTGATCGCCTACCGCGTGTCTTGTGCGGGAGTTTTGCACCATGGCCCCAGCACCGTCGGCAAGTGTCGTGGTTGAAGAGACATGGGATGGTTGAGGTATACCGCTGGTTGAACTCCGCGTCAAACCCTGAGAATTAGGGGGAATGGCGGGCTTTTCAACCATTGAATTATGACGAACCAAGGAAGCTGGATCTACGTCCGCCCCAGACTCCATGCGTGGAGAGCTCGGCCCCATCCCGGCAGGACCGCGGCTGCGCGAGTGAGATTGTAGCAGGTTCAGCTCAGCTTTCAACAACCGATTCTCCCCTCGAAGCTTGGCCATCTCTGGCGACAGGCCAGATTGGCCTAGCTTATGTTGTTGAGCACGAATATTCATCATTGACTCTTCTAAACGATCCAGCTTTTTGATCCGTAGGCTCAAGGTGTGCTCGACGGCCTGATATTGCTTGGTAAGGTCACGTTCAACGCCCTTAATGCGATTCTTGAAGCCAGAGATCACGTTCTCCAGTGTCTTTACAGCAAGCAAAAGATTGCGGCTGAAGCCCGGCCAGAAGAGGATGTTGCCTATGACCTCTTGACTTGGTAGGTTGCCGTTGATTAAGCTGTTAGAGTGCGCCCAGTCCGGTCCACACATCGCCGACAAACGTTTCCAGATCATAAGCAGCATCGTGTTCCGCTCATTGAGCTGATCTTTGAATTGTTGCTCGAGATTAGTAAACCGCTTGCGATCTTGGTTGCGGGCATTTTCTAGCTCTGTGATACGTGAATTGTTTTGGGTGATGGTCCGAGATGCTTGGTGGTGAGATTTAAGCGCCTGCTCAAACGATTGTTTATCTGCCCGGCGAGAATGTCGCTCGCGTTCGAGAAGCTCAGCTAACTTCCGAGACTCCAACCCGTGGCTCTCAAGTAGCGCATCGCGGTTTCGCAATAGCGACTCGGTCTCGTCTAGTTTAGAGCGGGTACTTTCGAGTTCCCAAGCAGTTGACTCGAGATTCTTTTGAAGCTCCATGATTTTGGAGATCAAGCTAGAGCGACTACCAGTCAGATCACCTAAAGTCTCTCGAAGATTGTTCTCCAAGTCCATGAGCCGCTCCCTCCAAGTATTAGTCTCGATTTCTTGAGCCGATAGACTCTTCTTGAGTTTGCGCGCCTCCTCCTTGGCAGCAGATGCTTCTCGATTCAACTCGTTGACGATTCGCTGGACTTCTTGCTTCTCCTTGCTTCCTACGACCTCTCGCTGATGCCGCTCTTCTGTCAGACGTTCCTCGAGTTCTCTGGCCTTGTCCTTTTCGCTTTGGAGGCTTATCTTGTATGTCTTTAGTTCTGACTCCAGGTCACCGATTCTGATCTTATCACCATCTTGTTCTTCTCGCAGGAATGCAATCTCGTTCTGACTCGATTCAATTTGAACTGTCAGTCGCTGGACCTTCGTATTTGCTTCGAAGAGACTTTTTTCAAATGACTCCATCTCTCGATTACAATCTTCAAGCTCCTGTTGGACAGCTTTGTAACGTTGCATATTGCTTTGTGCGTCTTCTTCAAGTCGGATGATGCCTTCGCTGGCTGAGCGCATCTCTGCCTGCAGCGCTCGGAGATTCTCATCTTGAATCTTCAACTCCTCACCTAATCGCTGGCACTCTTCAGTCTTCTGATCAAGCTCCTCGCCAAGGGCATCCAGCTCATCCTGGGCTTCAGCCCTCAAGTCCTGGAAAGCCGCATTATGTTCATCCGCCATCAGTAGTGCACGGTCACGTTCTTGCTCCAGGTTCTGCAAATCTTGCTGTAGCTTTTGCATCTCCTCCTCCGCTTGATCCATGTCAGCTTGATATGCTTTATCGAAAGCCTCGACTTCTTTGCCGCGCTCTTGGTATGCTTTGTCGAGTGATTCCAACTCTTTCTTGTACTCATCCAACTCCCTCTTATACTCCTCCAGCTCCGTTCGGACAGCTTGGTTATCAAGTTTCAGCGCAGAAACCTGATCACGCAACTGTCCGTTCCGGACTTCCAGATCTTCTCGTTCCGCGTCATCGCCTGGGTATGGAGCAGTTCCATCACTCGCTCGAGAAGGTGGTCTACCGTGAGCTCGCGAAGCGGACCGATCAAAGATGCTGTCCCCAGCAATAGAGCGACCGCCGTCGCGCCGCTGACCAAGCTTCAGCTCCTCGATCTCTTGGTAGAGACGTTCTTTTTCACGATTTCGAGATGTAAGCATCGATGTTTGAGCACTGACTTCTTTTCTCAACTCCGCATTTTCTTGTTTCAAGAGCTCCAATTCCATTACCAAGGTTGAGCTAGAGGAACTACTGGGGTTTGTATTGCGATTCAACTCTCTATCGGAGACAGCAGAGTACGAATTCATGGACTCTACCCGGTCACGCTGCGTTGGTCTTGTGGAGACTATTATCGAGCTCATTTCACTCTTGAGGCGTAGCGCATCTTCTCGTAGCCTTTTGTTCTCCTCCTCTGCTTGCTCTCGAGCAGCCGTCTCTGCTTCGAGCATGTCTTTCCACATGTCCTATAGCATTCAATTCAGCACAAAGGCAGCCAAAAACTGGGAGTAACCTGCACTCACCCTCTCTTCCCTTGCTCCTACATCCGAACCCATTGGTCTTCCATCATTAAGTGATTTAAGGATTTCTGCCAATTTCCTCTTCTCGCTTTCTCTGGCAATACTTTCGGATCTTAGTCTCTCAATCTCGAGCTCATAAACCTCTACTCTCTCTCTTAAAAATAGTATCTCTTCTTCTTGTGCTGGTTCACGACCATCGTCGTCAGATCCTTCAGGATCGTGATTCACCATAGATTCCTTGTCAGACTGCTGGTCTTTGAGCTGCTTCTCTAAATCACGGATTTTCCTTTTCAGAGTTTGGCTGTCTTTCTGAAGTTTCAGTTTATCTGACTTTAGCTCAACATTCTCCGAAATCATTTCCTTTATTCCTTCCTCGGAGCGGCGATTCAACGCCTCATTGAGAAAATGAATTCTCATCTTCAAGTCAAAGTTCTCTTTGGAGAGACGATCAATGGTGCTGCTTTGCTCTTTGAGGGTCATGGACCGGCCACTCCTTGCAAAGGCTGGAGTGGCACCTGCACGCTTGTCTGGTGATAATCCACGGCCAGCATAGTCTTCTCTAAATTGCTTCACAAATGTGCTTGGTACCTGGACATCTTTGACACGTTCTGCGATGGCCGTATCTGTGGGGAAACTGATATCCTGCGCTTTTGCTTTAGGTGTCATTAGCCCGGTGGTATCTTCAGCCATAGGTTCCTCTTGGTTTTGTCCGTGCTTTTGCTGGGATGATCCGAGACGTGACTGCAAAGGTGTTTCCTCCTCGTTTAAGGTATCTAAGCCGCTTTCCGTAGTGCTGCTAGGATTTCTCTTATCGAGGATATTTTCATCACTATACCCAGAAATACCGGAAGCCATACTCCCTAAACTCACTGATCTAGCCAGGTTGTTACGCTGTTCATGTTGGACAGTGCCAGTGTTACCTGGTACTGCACCTCCCGACTGAAGCGCGTAGTCAGCACCCAATGTTGCATCACTATTCACTTCTGTATTGTTGCTTGTCACCGAGGAATAAGAGAGACGGTGGACTGACTGGCGACTGGTCAAATATTTCGGTCTATTCCCTCTACGGCTGCTTGTGCGTGAAGCCGCCTCCACTTCATAGTTGGCATTTCCGCTGAGGGGTCCTGCCTGCGAAGGAGAAAGGCTCCCCGACGTCGTGCGAAAGTCCTGACGAGCTGGCTGTTGGGTTTTATTTAAGTCGAATACAGGTGGCTCATCTGTTGGCTCCTCGAAAAACTGGCCAATTTGGCGAGGACCTTCAGATGTTGAGAGCTGATTCCGATTTACGGTCCTAGCCGCCGCTTGTGCCGCGGGTGATGACTGCACCGTCTCTAAATCCTTCTCATTATTCTCCTGCCACTCGGAGGGGGGCGCAGGGGTAGTCTCGGAGTCTACAGTCATATCCTCCTCAGGCCTCAAACTGGGGGTTTGTGGTATCGGAACGCCATCATAGGTTGACGTAATATCATAACTTGAGCCATCTGGTACCACAAAGGACGACTGAACATGGCCTGGCTTGTCGAATTCTGGCGCACGCTCATCAACTCCAACCAGATAGGTATCGTCGGCACTCGAGTGCTGGTTCCTTGGAACAATTTGAATTGTTGAGGGTTCCGGTAGGAAACTTGACTCCATGTCCATTAACTTTCTTCGCATTTCTTTCTCCTCCATCAAGGTCTGGTTAACCATGCGCTCGTGGTCACCGTCATCGCTGGACAGGAGTAAAAGACTGCTGTCATCGTTATCGGGTAGCGGAGGTAGATTTAGGGAAGCATTCGAGTCGTCAAGATCCTGCTGCTCAACAGCAGGTGTAGATCGGCCATCTCGTTTCGCGTCTGCTATTGTTTCGTCTTGTGTGTAGTGAGCTCCACCATCTACACCGGTTGTACTCGAGTTTGTTAGGAGATGTTCTCTCCGCGTGTGCCCCTCCTCCATTATGTCGGTCGCGTAGAACTCGTCCTCCAGGGACAAAAGTTCGTTTCCAGTATCCGAGCTTCTTCCAACGGGCGAGGAAGGTGGCGGTGAGAGCGCAAATTCAATCGCATTGAGGGTCCCGAAAGAAGGAGATGGCAGTTGAGCGGACCCTGTCGACATGGTGACGGAGTCTGGGCACCGTGTTTGTTTTCTCCACTTCGACCTTGAATCCCTAGAATCCTAATGGCGAAAGCCCGGCTTTATTGACCCACTTAACTCGGTAGCCTTAGCGTGATCACCTAAGTTTAGACTTCCGCCGGTCTTGCTTCAGGCCCGGCAACTCTGAAGTAAGTTTATTTCGTCTTTTGCCCTCCGAGAATATTTCGATGGCTTACGACTCTGCTCAGAAGGAAAAAAAAATTCAAAACCAAAATCAAAATCAAAATAAAGAGAGAGAGAAAGAGAGAGAAAGAAAAGAAAAACGTGACAGGATTGACTGTGGCGGAAGAGTACATTTTATTTGAGAGGGGAAAGGAGCGTATCAGTAAGGAGCCAGTCATTAAGTTCCAAATTCATGGGCACCAATCAGTCAGGTGGTTGTACCAGTACTAGTACGTACCACAGAAAACAAATAAGAAAAAAAAGTGTGTATGATTAAATTATAAATATCTACACTGGATAGATATTCACGCTACTTGGACTAGTAATGCTATATATATCCACATCAAGAGGAACCAAACCAAATGACACTCGTCGTACCCATAACGTAAGTCTCGTAAATATTTCAAAAGGAAGGAGAAAAGCAGGATACAGAAGGGGGAGGGGAAAAGTGACAGAGGAAAAGGAAAGCCAACCATTAGCAAGAGATGATGGAGACTGGAAAATGACATATAAGAAAGCGCAAGAGAACGACCAATGGTTGGGGAATCGCATACACACGACTCCATAAAATCCATGAGTGATAGTTGGGAGAAAGGCGTGCCATGTATTCTGCATTGACCTGCAATGATGGAAAAACTCCTTTATGTGGAAGGTGAGCTCTCCTCGCGGGAAGCATATATTTTGTTTTTGAGGTCGAGTGCCCTTTGTAGAGTCTCAATGTATGTGCGAAACTTCACATTTTCTCGCAGTAAGTACGATGATTTACGCTCCCAGTTGGCCATGGACTTTGTGGCATTTGGATGCCTGGGAGAAAAGGCCAGAACCATGGCCGGTCGGAGCTCATTATGTCGCTGTAGTTCATCCTCAACATTCTTGACATACGTTCGCAAAGCCTTCAGCTGGTCAGCTTCAGGTAAGTTTGAAGCGACCATACTCTGCTGGGGCGGAGCCCAGTCGCTGATGTTTACTCGATCGGCTGGAAGCCTGGGGCGTACACCGCCTTGCTGGTCAATAGAGCTCCGGATAGAACTTTGAATGCTAGGTCGTGCCCCAGACGAGGACGGTGGCGACCTGTTGTTGTTGTTGTTGTTGTTGTTGTTGTTGTTGTTGTTGTTGTTGTTGTTGTTGTTGTTGTTGTTGTTGTTCTCCGTCGTTATCAAGGCACTGTTGATGACTGTATCACTCCAGCCGTATTCCATATTGCTAACTCCACCAACCAGAGGCTCTTTGGATAACCTCGCACTCCAGTAGTTAGCTGTAGAGACGAATTCATGGACGATCTCCGGAGTGCCAGCCTGAAATAGGTGTACTGCGCCATTAGGTAGACTCAGAGCCCAGACGTGCGGGCGGGACTTAGAGTAACCGGGGGATGGAAGTACGCTTGCGAGGGTTTGACGTAGGAGAAATTTCCTTATCTCCTCAGCATTCTCTGTCCAGTTCCCTCCTCCCACCACTACTCCACCATGTGTGTGGGGTTTTGACTTATGCCGAACGGACTTCGTGGACGAATTGAAAGAAAACAGCCGCATCCAACCCTGTTGTATCACAGCGAAGCATTCGTTCCAGTTTCGGTCCTTAGCCCTCTTATCAGTCGAATCCAAGTGTTGCTTATGCTTTAGGCTCCCTTCTTTGGCCCAAGGAGCGCCAGCAAGTTGGAGAGTCTCGTCTTCCAGAAGCGGTATGGTTCCCTCGATCTCCTCGGTGCTCGCGATGGAATAGGCAGAGTCCTCCCGGATTATCGCTTGACTTAGTGCATTAGCGAATCCAATAGATTGCTGATAGTCGCCACGCATATAGTCTGATCCGAATGAGTCCACTGAGACAGATGTTAACTTGCCCAAAGATTGCTTACTCCAAGTACTGGAGGCAGACGGGCTCCAGAAAGACGACTGCTCCTCCAGGCTGGTTCGGCTGGAACCCATGACGGAAGGAGGGTATAATCTCGCCCGTGACCGGTTTTTGGAAGACCAACGCGCGGCGCCGTAGCGGGAGTCGGCTGAGCGGCCCCGTGGGTAGATGTCGGAACCGCTCCTGCTCACGGTGCTGGGGCTTCTGCGCAAACCACTCGGATTAGGGGACAATAAATGGTTCGATGAGATTCGAGACGCCTCTTTCTCTACTTGAGCACCATGAAGGGGGAGCCTCTGCTTCTGAATCGAAGTATAAAAGTCCCTCAGAACGGTTTCAACTTGCTGGCCCCAGGCTTTATCGGTTCCATTAAATGGCACATTTACCAACGGGCCTGTGTTAGTTTCAGGATCACCTGACAATTTGACGGAGAGATCAGTCCGAGAAAGTCGGTTCACAAGCTTCGCTGGCGCATTTGTTGGCTTATCAGCGGCCATATTCCCACGATCGGACTCGTCCATAGGGGACGTCAGAGATTCCCGGGCCGACACTTTCGATTTATTGTGAGCTACATGGAGTGCTTCAAACCCATCCGGGGCCGCGTCGAAGGCCACGCGATGTATAGTGGGCATCGTGTTCCGAACAAATTGGGCTTTGGTCATCTTCTGTTCAATATCCGCAAGGTGAAGGTCGGTGTTCAACAGAAGAAGGGAGTAGCATATAGTGTGCACAACATCTACAAAAATGATGTGCTGAGCATCATATCGCATAAGAGCACGGAAAAATAGAGTAAGGTGGACATACCTGAAGCCTTGAACCCATGGTTAGGGTTACACTCACACCATCGTATGGAAAACGCATCTAGAACTCGATCAACCTGCTGTGTCTCTCCCTTTAATATAAGCCGGTTACATAGACTTCGAAGGGCCGCCAAAATATTCATATTGGACCAGTCAAAAAACTCCATGTATGCCTTGCGAATCGTAGCGCGGTCCGGATCACCGAGCCATGCAGCAGCCGGCTCATTTCCCACAACTTGATCTTGACTGTCGTAGAGCTTTTGAGCCTGTTCTTTTTCTGAATCTCCCTGTTGATACTCCGGGACGTCATCAATGCAATCAACTTTGCTCTCCGGTGCTTCAGCGGACTTTGACTCTACCGGAGAGACCACGGGTGTGCTGGAAGCTGTGTAATAATTCGAGATATTTGATGTCGATACTTTCAATGAGCCACTGGTATCAACAGGAGGCGATTTCAGGCTGGATTCGTCTTCGCGGTCGTACAGACTGGGTCCGCTCTGATGCTTAACTTTTTCTTCCGGCTCCCCTGGATTTATCGTACATGTCTCCTCGGGACTTGCTATAGGCGACACACTCTTTTGAGAGAAACGCTCAACGACGGGTGATAGGGACGGAACACTAAGGTCTTGTGGCGTCAACCTGTTCCGGACACCACCTGCACGATCACTCTCCGAGTCTGGCCCACTGTCGCGTGAACCGATGCCATCCCTGGGAAGCAGCAGTTCTGGACTGGCTGAAGATGTGGAATTCATGTGATTCACTTTGGGAATATCCTCGTCTCCGATCTTATTTCCCAGAGTCGATGTATCACGTGCACTGGGGGAAGCGGCGGGGTAAAGGCTGTATTTGGGTCTCTGCACTCTACCTGCAGCATGAAAACTTTCTTTTGATTTCTCTGCAGGTGAATCAAGGCCTTTGTCCTCCTGTTTATCAGTGCCTATGTTTCGGCTATGGGATTCTTTGGAAGGGAACAGCCCTGGAGCGATAGCATCTGCAAGATATGGGTTCATCACCTTCCTTAAACTACTCACAGGGCTAGGTTGTGGCTTTGTGACTTCATGTGGCCTTGAGCCAGACTCCGGGGGAATTAGAATAGGGGGGAGTACGCTCTCAGTCACCGATCTCTTCCGTCGCCGGAAGAATGAAGATTTCTTGTTCACCACTTGATGGGTCCCTTGACGGACCGTAGTAGTACCCGCCGTGCTACTCTTCAATGGCTGTCTCCGGTCCTTGGTATTTGTAGTGGAACCATTGAAATCCCGTAGATCGTTATCTTGGGAGAATACAAGATCAACCTGATTGTTTTCTGAGCCAGGTGTAGAGTTTTTGGATGAACCAAAAACACGCCGGAAAAAGCCCGGACGTTCCCTGGTCGGAGCTGGATCAGAGGGCGTCGGAAATATAGGTTTGTTGAATGATATCGTAGGACTTGGGGCCGGCGGATCAAACGTAGCTGCCGGTATAGCCGGGGGAGGTTCCAAAACAGGCGCACCGAGTTGCGTCAAATCATTTTCACGGCCGCTCATGGCTGCAGTACTTTTTGTTCGTGCCGACTTCACACTATTCCGTCGAGAAGCTACCGGTGTGCGCGATGACTGAGGGCCTAAACTTCCGGGATATTCACCTTGTGATGAAACTTGATACTTTCTTGGTCCACCAGGGATACTCGGTGTAGGGGCTGCGTCAACTCTGTCGAATGATATTGGATCATAATCAATCGTAGCCTCCTTAAACGGAATGGTTGGTTGTCTAGTGCCAAAGTCGAAGCTTGCGGAACGCCGCTCAGTAGCCAGGTCCGCTCGATGATTTCCTGAAAGGGGTGGGCCAAAATCTATGTTTAAAGAGGAGCTCCCTTTACTACCTTGTCTGGTTCCGCGAACCCCAGAGGTACCACCTCCTGAGGTGGAGCGATGATCGTATATTTGGCCGCGCGAGCTTGGCCCTTCTGGGGTGCGGGCACTACCGAATCTTCGAAGGTTAGAATTGTAATTCGAGCTGCTAGTACTCCGACGAGCTCTGCCCGGCTGAGTCCCGTATCGACCAGCTACATCATCAGGGTTGTAGTCTAGTTCTGATGACAGAGACGATGAAAAGGTATGGCCGCGATAACGACGTTGGGTCATAGAATCTGGCGAGCAACGGCCATATAGATCTGACTCAAAAACGGAATTGAACAGGCGGTAGTCATCCAGAACGGAGGCATTTGAGGATGCAAATTGGTCCAGCGACAGGAGCATATTGTCAACGATAGAAGTGCGAGCGGCATGTTTAGGGGACAAAGATAAGTCATGGGGATCTCGCTCGTCACCAGAGTCCATGCCGTTGTTTGTGTTATCACCCGCGTTGTATTCGTCGAGAAAAGTTTCGCGCACTGGCGGGCGTGACTGGGCCATCCTTCCCATAGCTTTGTAGTTTGATGCTGCAGAAGGCGTACTCGGGGGAGAATTACTGGCATGCATCTCGGAAAGTTGTTGAGACATTCTTGTACTCTCTGATCGCGTGAATAGGCTCGATGAAGGTGATGTAAAGCCCGCAAGTCTGGCGACAGGGGAAGTTGTGGAAGAGGAGTTCAACTCGGGAGTTCTAATGCAAAAGCTGTAGGCAGATGTTCCTCTATGGGGTTGATCTTATGTGGTACAAAGTCACTGGTTCCTTTCTTCCTCTTCTTAATCTTCTTCTTCTTCCTCTTCCCACCCTTTTCTTATGAGGATCCAATAGAATTCCCTCTTGTTGGACTGTAGAGTTATATCATGAATGCTAAACGGGCCGTCTCTAAGGCAGAACGCAGAGGGTGGTATGTGTCATCTGTCGGTCATTGCGTAAGGATCGGCTGGAATGGACAACGGAAGTTAAGGAACCGTAGTCGAAGCAAGCGTGTGACAGTCAACTGGGGGTCGAGAAAAGCCCCAGTACTCTCGTGTGGATTGTTATAAGCTTGAGAAGCAATAAAGCCCCGTTAGTGTCATGCTGCACTCAAGAATCACCAGGCATAGGTAGGGCATCAAAAATATACGTACTAGGAAGGGGAATGGAACCAAAAGACTAAGGATACAGGCGGGGATTATCAAGGTAGAGGAACTGTGGGTATACGTTGAACCACTGTGGGGGTGGTGCGATGATTTTTGTCCCTTTTCTTTTTAGTTCCTTAAGGAAGAAAAGTAGGTACATATGATAGAACTAGTGGTTGCTATCTGAGTAAATAATAAAGGAGGGAGGTTTCAAGAACAAATGACGGACCACTTCATACCCCCGGGAAAAAGAAAATAAGAAATCAAAAAACGTGACAGGGGAGGTGGGCAAAGGTTTACCAGATATAATCCATGATCAATTCCCAAATCAAAAGAAAGACACTGGGACTGGAAGTGTCGTACTAGGCGGTGCTAGTGCCGATGGTCAGGGGCAAGCAGGAGTCTTGGCCAGAACCACACCCTCTCCAGGCTCCTACAGGATGGCCAGTAGGTACATACGTAGTACAAAGTATACTAGATGAGTATCTCAAGGGGGAAAGAAATGGAAGTTATTTGCCCGCCGGGTTTAAAGTCTCAGATGTCCTATGTCCGGGAATTTGCATCTCTTTCAGATCCTCCTTTATCTCTTTCCTCTTTTTTTCCTTCCCTTTCTTCTTCCCACACCAACACCCCCCCTCCTCTCATTTCTGCCCTCTAATCCAACACAATTAAAACCCCGGTCAGTTGCACCACTAGTCAACTAATCATTTAGTACTTAGCTGCTAGACTAGTCCATACTAGACTATAGATGCACATGACATTGAATACTAATCAATTATTCAACTTGTTAGCAAGGTCTCGGGCTTACTTGAATAGTCAACATCAATTAATCTTATGGGATCCTCCATCCTGACCTGTTGCTGTGGTATGGGCCACTCATGGATATATATAGGACTAGTGTTCTACTCTCTAAATTTCCTCAATCGCCCGTAAAAGTCCCCAATTTTTGATCCCAATAGTAATGTTGATGCAAGATACGAAAAATGACTTGAGAAGGAGACTCCTCTCTGGCTAAAGAAAAGAGAGCAAGAGCAAGAGCCACGCACGCACACACACACACACCTATATATATTGAAATATATCCATTAGTGATTGATAACCGTTCAATTATCGGTTACAGTTGTAATACATCACGGGCCGCTAGTTGATCCGAAAGCACCAGCTGGCGGATGACATAACATAGAGGGTCTTCCCCCCGACTCCATACCTCGGAAGGGATTCAGGAGCCACCAATACTCGTAAAGACACATGCTATCCAGCCCTTCCTTAGACATTCATTCTGTACCCGAGTGCTTTCCTAAACTGCGCAAAAATGAATCCTCACATATCGGTTCCGCGCCAGCACGCCAGTCCGTCTAATTTCGGCGGCACAACACCAGCAAGCCGTGGATCTAGCATCCGGATGCCGCGTTTTTTCAAAAGGTGCGCTCTTTGAGAATACCCGTGGGCTAGACGATAACGTCAACACGGAGTATGACAACTTGAATTATTCGCGGTAGGCGATTACTGATCCGAACCCCATGCTGGCCGCAGGATGTTCAAGTTTCCGCAGATGGACTTTGAAATGGCTATATGGGAGATGACATCACTGCTGATCGCTCCCAAGAAAGTTTTTAAATCTATCTACTACCATGTGAGCATAGTCTTAATCTCTGGTCTTGCTATAGTGCAGGTGTGCTAATTATACATTTCATTGTAGAAACGTAGGTACCTACAAACCCGGCAGTCACAACCCGATTGATGAGGAGATAATGGGAGAAGTGCGTACTTTCACAGCGATAACGTCATATTAACCCGTCGCTTTATCTTCACAGAAACTAAGAATACCTGGCATCGGCCTGATCCCTCTTTCACGTATCTACTGTCCTTCTTCTTGCTCCTCACAGCTCTCGCGTGGGGTCTCGCATATGCACCGTCTTTCGGGGCTATTGTCCGCTTGTCTCTACTTTTCATCTTTCTCCATTTCATCGGATCATCACTGCTGGTGTCGACAATAGGGTATTTTGTCATCGGCCGACTTTTCGGCCCAGATGGAGCGGCAGCCTCCCTCTCTGGGTTGCGAGGCGGACGTGGACGGAGACGTGGTGCAGCACAAGGCTTGTTCGTGCAACCAGGCGAAAAGGATCAATTGGAATTTGGATATTGCTTTGATGTACGTCAAGATGATGCCAAGCAGGCATTTGAGCTGAGTTAACCGTTACAATTAGGTCTCCAACCGGGCATTCTTCCCTCTCTACCTTCACCTGTATGTTGCTCAGTTCCTTCTCCTGCCGCTTCTTACGCGCAGTCCGAGCAACTTCCTCGCCACGTTCCTTGGGAACACGCTCTATCTTTCCGCCTTGGCCTACTACACATACATTACCTTCTTGGGGTACAATGCCCTTCCGTTCTTGCATAATACCGAGTTACTCTTGCTTCCCATCCTCGCGTTCGCGATATTGTGGCTTGTGAGTTTGATTGTGGGATGGGGTATTGTGGCGCAAGGAGGCAGCGTGGAAGGGCTCTTCTGGGGTGCCTAACCTCTGGAACCCTACCAATGATCCGTCGGATTTGATGAACTTTCAATTGTACCTCATTCAAGCAAGGCGTTGGTGTATACGGTGACGTTCTCGATACGTTTCATATTCATGTTCATTTGTACCGTTTTGTCTGCTTTGGGGGATCTGAGCGTAGGGATATATTGCCCTTTCCTATATATTGTTTATTGGAGCGAAAGCCTATTGTATAGTAGCTCTCTACATTGCATATATACATTTTATTATTATTATTATTTTTTTTTTTTTTTCTTTACTGTCATTGCCCGTGCAAGGGTCTGCAGCATATCTATGACGGTACCTCGCACATACTTCTCTTACGGTTTCTATATCAGATCTACCAAATCCTCAGCACTCTACTGCCATCATTCCGGCTGTTTTTTTTTTTTTTTGGTTTGCGGGCCTGGATATCCAACCATAGAGAGACCCGCGCTGGTAATTATCTATTGGAATCGTATTGTTCGTTCTGGAATGAACGATCTATTTGGGTATTCTGTGTACAGTCCATATGATATCGTCAGTGGCCGGTTAGCATTATACCCAAACCAAGTTTCTAACTAGCTGTGAATAAAACTATCCCATACCCCTCATCAAAGTCTCGGTATCCAAGCCAAGGCAGGCTGTCTGTTTCATTTATTTTTTCTTTGGACCACCTTTCTTCTTCACGTTCAGCTTTGCCTCTATCTCTGCAGCCCGCTGCTTGGCTAGCTCTGCCTTCTCTTCTTTTTCAGCTTCCTTCCGTAACCTCTCTGCCTCTCGTCGCTCCCGAATGATAGCTAGACGAGCCAGATCTGCACGAGCCTCCTCTGTTTTACCCTCAGCGTGCAGTTTCAGATAGCGTTCACGTTCTTGCTGAGCCTCAATGGCTTCGCGTTCTCTCCTCGACAACTGTGACATGTCTTTGTCCGGATTTGAGTCCTTTAGCTGCGAGCGAGACTTGGCCGTGTGGTTCGGATTTGAGGGCAATTCTTCATCCCCATCACTACCTCTGCTATTTTCTGACTCCGAATCAGACGGTGGCAGATCGCCAGGTTGGACCTGATTCCGTTTCGCTATAGCAGCTTGCTTCTTGGCTTTGGCTGCTGCCCGGCGCTCCTCACGAGTCATCTCTGGACCTGCGGGAGAGCTGGATCCAGGTTTGGCTTCTTCCGTTGAGGATTCTTCTTCTGATCCGGACACTTCCTCCTCCTCCTCCTCCTCCTCCTCCTCACCGCCCTCCTCTTGTGAGGAAGCTGTGGCATCATCGTCTGGTTCCTGTTTTCATTGTGAGGAAATGTTAGGAGTTCGGCTTCTAGCATAAATTATGTCCATGACCCTGCCGTGACTTGACGTACTCTCCATAGACCGACGGGATTACCGTGCTTGTCGACTGGTTGAACATCGCGACTAAAGTGTTTCCCACCTGATTTTCAAACATGCATCAGCTTAACATTAATCTCGTAGCATATGGCTTGGGAAGAATCCCAGATATTGCGCCTACCTCCTCGCGAAGGCTTGGAGAACTTCCCACGGCCACGAGGCGCCATGATGTGAGTGGTCGGAGAGAAAGGGGCCAGCCAGGGTATTGAATATAACGGAAGTACCAGAATCTCTAGGATATATAGTTATATCCAAGGCAATATATCTTAAAGAGATTTCTGTAGTTATACAACTGTCACTGACTTTGAAAGACTGAGTGGGGGGGGGGGGGACAACGGATTATATGTACGTACATACAACAAATTAATCCCCAGAGGCGCTTCTCAGTGATTATTTCTTTACCGAATAAAACAAGAATACGATGTCAGTGAGGCAGACCACTCTATGCAAAAAGGGGTTGAATCACAAAGTAAGCAACCGGAGGGCGAGGAAATCCAAAGACAGACAGTTGAGTCACGCACAGGATTTCTATGGCAGGGCGGGGAATTAAATCAAATGATTTAATAAGTTACTATCCTCAGGCATCAATGTGACCCACACCGAGTGATTCAATCAGCATCGGCCATATTATCTACAAATCATCACCTATTATGCACAATTGGTAGTAGTAGTATATTATCATTCTATAGACAGTCAAAATTTTACAAGTCTGTTACACACACATCACATTCACCGACACATATCCCATTTTATGTCGTCATTGAATTACCCCCAGATGCGGTGCATTTTCCAACAACCTCACGACCGTTGCCAGGAGAACCCCAGTTTGGCCACTCTCGCTGCAAACAAGGTCACTGCACCAGCAACAACTGCACTACCCATGAACATCTGAGCATACAAATACTGCCCATCATTTAGTTGGATCAATGCCCCCGCGATCGGAGAGCCGATGAGAGCAGCGACAGCCACCACGCTGAGCACCATCCCCATCCTCACGCCGGTCTTTTTCAGGTCTGTTGTGAGGGTACTGAGAGTTGCAGGGAATAGAGATTGGATACCAGCCGCAGCGAGACCATAAAACGCGCTAAAGGTGTACATCCCTTTCGGGCTGTCCACGGCAGCCCAACAGTATGCAACCACCCCGGTAGCTAGGCTACAGGGGATTAGCAGGTTCAATGGCCCGCTATACCAGTCAGCCATGAGGTTCGGAATCAGCCGACCTAGAAGTCCCACACCATTCATGACCAGGAGCACATCGATTGAGGTTGACTGGGAGACATTGGTGACATTGCGGGCAAAACTACCAATATAGAAGAAGCCGATATAGATACCCCAGAAGTTGAGGAACATGCCTATGGCAAATAACGCATAGGAAGGCTCCTTGAATGCAGCCCATTCAACGAGCGGACCGCTTTGGCGCGGTGGTAGCCTTTGTTTCAGAAAGAACAAGCAGGGCGTTAGTGTGCCCAAAGAAATAAAGCCGAGGATTCGCATGGTCCATCCATATCCGACCTGAGGCAGCAGACGCATGACGACGGCGGGAAACACCAAGCCCCCGGTTGCCGATCCAGAGGCCACAATACCCATGGCAATCGAGCGCCTATTGGTGAAATACGTAGGCACCAGGGCAATGGTAGGGCAAAACATGAGCCCACAGCCAATTCCTTGTCCGACGCCTTGGGCCAAGAACAACTGCCAGTACTTGGTTGACAAGGATGTCATAAAAATGCAAAACAACTCCAGCACCGCTCCCAACACCAAGGTGACCTTGAAGTATCCGGCGTCTGTTGCACGACCAGAGAAAGTCCCAATAAAGAAAAGCAAGAATATTTGAATACTTCCTACCCAGGAGATATCAGATGGAGGATGCCCTAATGTTTCAGTATAATAGGTCTGGAAAACGCCAAAGCTATTAATGTAGCCCCAAGTGTTGAAAATGACAAAGTGACCCAAGGCGACTTGAGACCAGGCCAGGAAGCCGCCATCAGGCGGAGGCCCAAGCTCTCTGTTCGATCCTCTGGTGCGGACCAGTGACAATGTTTTAGAGGCCAACGCACCGGCATTACTAACGTTTGTGGGTGTCTTGGAGAGCTCTTTCGTCCGGCAGTGATCCACGTTTGATTCTCTGTCGCCGGGAGCCTCTCCAACGCTGCTTGCAGTCTCATCTCGGCGTACGCCGTCTTCTTTCTCGTTGATCATGCGCTGAGAATAGCTAGTGCCATTGGCTATTCTGTCCGACATATTTGCTGGTTGGCAGAGAGTGAATTAACAACGTGTAGACTTGTGGTCGCCAGGTGTTAAATACGTTTCTGGGCTATTGAAAAATTGAGCTGTTGTTCCATCAGGGAAGCTTTGCCATGGATCGAATTCTGTACAGATCAATACCCAAAATTGTGTACATAGGGTTTGAAAGCAGATCTACCGACAGCCCAGAGAAATTTTGTGACAAAGTTGACGGAAGAGGGCCGTGTTGTTCCTGCACGGCTTGTTCGCCGAAGCCATTGGAACCACGACCCAGAATAGGGCTCATGACCAGTGGAGAAACCTCCCTCTTTTTCTATTTCTTTTTCCGGGTCAAAGCAACTACTACTCCATAAGCGCTCTATGGAACCTGGGGGGGTGGGGAGGGGCTGATTAATAAGAGGGAGGTGGGAAAGAACTGGATGAATAGAACTGACTTCGCACAGAAGTCCGAGGAGCAGTCATTGTGATTGATTCCCTGAGTTGGGGTGCCGCCTCGACTACCGAGGGGCGAAAAAGGCGACGATCAGTGGATTCATTAAATGAAAACTTCCAAAGAGCAGGAGGTGTTGGCCCCAGATTTGCACGTACTCCGTACATACGTTTTTCGACCCCACAATTTGCTAGATATTTACATACCGTACGGAGTAGTAATAACATACGTATTTATTTAAGTATACTGGAAGAGTATCCCCACTGGCTTGCGCATCCAACTACTACCACTTACGGTATCTCGGTAGGGCTTTATCCCTGAATTTAGCAGAGCATTAAGATTCTGTCCTTATATAACTCTCGTCTCTGGTCTATCTAATCTCTCTAACACATTATGAAACAGCGGCCGAGCAAATCCATCTATGACATATTATAAAAAAAAAAAAAACAGTGAAAAAAGCAAAGGGAGGCAACCAAACTCTGCGACTAACCGACGATGGGAGGGAACGAGAATTGAAAAAGAGGAAAAAAAAAAATACTCCACCCTAGCCAGGTAGTGCTACAACTTCGCTTAACAGACGTTCTCTAAATAACGACAAATGCCAAACCTCATCATGACGCCTCTAACAAATGGCCACTGCCAAAAGCACCCGTCTCCTCTACGCCTCTAGAATAATATGATTTATAGCATGACAACCATCTACCGCCGATGCTCTGTCATGGAAAGCTGGCACTCATGTCGTAAGCCTAGGTCGCACAAAGGTCACAGAGGCCAAAGGAGAAAGCTTGCCGATATCAGTAGTCTTGAGTGGAGCTACTGTTGAGCATCGTAACAGTCTCAATCACATCGGCTGGCTCCAACAGATGCCAACTGGCAGAAGTCTGTTTCGAACTAGCACCGACAGTTACGGAATAGACATGGTCTTGTGGGAGGTCGAACTTTTGAAGGGCTCGAAACATATCTGTGACAGATTAGCCATCATCAATGATGTCAACTAGCCGCGAAGAGCTAGACTAGACATACCTTCATCAGTAAAGTCGTCCCCAGAGCAAAAGATAAATTCAGGAGCCTGTCCAGGGCCAGTCCCGTATTCGTTGACTAGTCGGCTTGCGATGAACCCTTTGTTGACAAAAGTCGGACGAACCTCCAAATTGGCCTTTCCTGCCATGACTTCCACGTCCCATCTTTTACCAACAGTCTCCTCTAGATGTTTTCGGCACTCACGAGCCTGGAACGCACCATACTCAGGGTCTGCACGCCGATAATGCCATGTCAAAGCAACCCGCTTCCTCTCAATGAATGAACCTTGAGTTCGCTCGGTATAGTGCTGGAATACCTCCATAACCTCCTTCTGCCATCCCATGTTCGATCGTTCGGCCAGATTCTCCCAGTCGTCTGAGCGTGGCTTCCGGATGAAGCAACCATGCTCGGCACTCAATCCTAATTCAGGTATGTGACCCATCCATTCATCGAGAAAGGCTTGATCACGCCCACTGATGATCCATACTGCATTGCGGGAGTCCGCGGCTAGGGTTTTGATGGTCCGCAAGACGCGGTCGGATGGTATAGCGGCCTGTGGATCTTTGACGATTGGGGTAAGTGTGCCATCATAGTCGAACATGAAAAGCCTCTTCCGTGCTTTACGATACTGCTTTAATAGCTTGGCTCGATCGAGGGCGGGAGTCGCCACAGATTGGTCAAACGAAGAAAGATTGGTCAACAAACGTGAGAGATATTGTGTGGACCAAGCCGAGACTGTATTTGTTGTAACATGCTTGTAGAGTTTCTGATGGCTTGCCTTTCGATCATAAGGGGACATCGTCAAGGCCTGATTGATGGCTCCAGCTACGCCTGCCGTGTCCCACGGATTGATATGGATCGCACTTGAGAGGGTCCCCGCAGTTCCTGAGAACTCGGAGAGGATCAAAGGACCGTAACTTTGCTGTTGGCAGATGATATACTCCAAACTAGTCGTGTTCATGCCATCTCGAACAGTGGTAATCAGACCAACATCAGCCACGCGCAGCAAGGCAAAATACTCATGCTGGGAGAGGTATTGCGGGTAATACTTGACGGGTGAGAAGCTCAAAGACCCAAAGCGGCCGTTTATGGTGGAAACAAGATTGGATATTTGACTTGCAATTTTGTTCTCCTCTTTTTCCTCTTCGACACTGGTCGGACTGGTGACCTGGATAAGCACCACCTTGTCGCGCCATTCAGGGTACCGCTCCAGGAACACTTCGAACGATTGCAACTTCTGGGCCACACCACGGACACTGTCCAACCGATCACGGCCGACAATGATCTTCTTCCCGGCGTAAAGCTTGCGTATCCCCGTCACAGCGTTCTCGATCTCAGAGGAACCGAAGGCAATATTCTGGATTGCTTTAGCATCGATACCGATAGGGAAGACGTCCACGGCCACGTGGGCACCATATGCATCAACTCCGGCGGAGTTGGAGTCAAATCCGAGCACCCTAGTGCAGCAGGATGAAAAATGACGGGAATACGAAAAAGTCTGAAATCCAATCATGTTCGCACCCAATACTCCGGTAAGCACCTCCTTCCGCTTAGCTAGACAGCGCATAAACTCGCTACTGGGAAATGGGGCATGTAGGAAGAAGCCAATGTAAATGTTTGGGATCCGCTGCCTCAACATACTGGGCAAAAGGAAAAGATGGTAGTCATGGATCCAAACAATATCGCCTTCCTGATATTCTTTCAGAATCCGGTCTGCAAATAACCGATTCATTCGTACGTAATCCGCCCACCAGTTGCGTTCGGATCGGCCATCTGTGGGGCCATGTTGCTTGTAGTGCAGGAGAGGGTACAGCTCCCTTTCTGCATATCGCCTCCATCTGCCTTGATCCTCCAAGGAGATTGTATCCTGGGGGATTTCTGTCTCAGCCGACAGCCACACGGGGACGATTTTACCGTACCGCCCGGAGCTTAACTGCGCATCTAGTCGACTTCTATCGTCCTGGCTGACTGTGAGACCATCCAGGAGAGGATGGCTGGGTGGCCGTTGATTGGCGTCTACAGGTACAGGTGCTGCCGCCTTATTGAGGGGTTTTGCTGTACCATTTGCCGCAGCTGGCAGCTTTGCACTTGTGTTTATGGGGATTTGCTGCAAAGGCACCGTGTCCTCCGGGACCGGTTCTACTTCGCCGGTCCAACCAACGAGCGTATGAGACCAATTAGTCTCCTCGGAACCTAGATATGCCAAAGAATCAAATAGTGCCGAGGTTCCCGGACGGGGTTTGAGCTCCTATTAACTGATTAATCTATCTATGTCAAGGACTCCGCTAAGTCATAAAGATGGGAAATGAGGGTACAAATGAATAAACAAACGGGGCATACACACCCAAGAAGATTCTCGCCGATAGTAAACTTTGTATGGGATACAGAAGGCGGCGCTAATGATTCGTCCAGAGAGACGCAAACCTGGGTGTTGTTGACGTAGATCTGCCTCCAGCGCTTTGGGCGTCTCCCTCAGACTCAAACGACGCAAGAGTTCAATTCTCGATCTCGCATCCTTGGCTGCCTGAGCAGGAGTGGTAGGGGTAGTATTTGACGACTCCGAAGACATCTTTTCGCTAGGAGTTGCAGAGAAGTACGAAGGCGCATCGGCAATTAAAGATTGCTTTTCCTCACCACCCGGAATAGGGGTGGCAGTTGAGGCCTTGGTGTAAGCCTCTTCACCTAAAACTTTGATGCCCGGGCCAACTAGAACCGGGTCAGGCTGGTCGCGGGGGATATTTGCAGGGGTCGTCCTTTGTTCGGAGGACATTCTCAAATATAGATAGAACAAGTGATAAGGACGATGCAAGGGGGAGGGGCGAATGACAGCGCGGCGAGGATCTAATCAGCTATCGATCTGAAGTTTCCAAGACTAGTCAGAGAAACGACATTGTCTTCGAGCTTCTGTGTACAAGATCGATGACGAACAACAGGGGGAGGTGGGCAACAATTGTAGGACGTTTAGAGTCGCAGGTACCTCGGAGAAATGGAATGGGAGAGATAGATAAAGCTAGTTTGGTGGGGGGAACCGCGAACTATGCCCAGGACGGCAAGATGGGAATCATTGAACTGGGGGCTGTGGGAGAGTTAGAACACCGTAAATAAGAGATTGTTGTTAAAGTAATGGTGAACTGAGTTGCTTTCTCTCTTTCTCTTTTTTATTCATCAACAAGAGTGAAAGCGTGAGAGAAGGGAAGACGAGGTGGGGAGGGAGGGAGAACGGGGTCACTGACGGAGGAGTGTTGAGGGCAGGTTTGAAGAAAGAGAGGGGCTGACGGTTTAGAAGTCACAGGCGGTGAAGACCTGAAGAACGTGGTTTCAATCGCTTCGCTCGGTTGTTGGCTGCTTAATATACGCAAGCAATAGGAAGAGCTGGATTGTTCACGAGCCAGGGAAGAGAGACATGAGGGATATAAGGTAGAACAGGAGAGAAGGAGATAGAGAGAGAGGGAAGACCAAAAGCAAGAACGTTGATGGGCCACACGCCCACCCCCCAAAACGGACTGTTCCAGGCCGGTGACTCGGAGGGAAAAAAAAAAAGAAAACATATACTTTACTTTACTTATCTTAATTATCTTAGTTATTTCGGAAACAACTATAGTAGTATGGACTATAAGTACCCAACCAGACTTAGTCTACAGAGTATGTAGTCCCATAATGATGAATTGATTGTCAATTCAAATAACCGGTTTCAACGTACCCCACGATACTGGAGTGGATGATGCGATCCATGAAATTCTCATTATCAGTCCTTTCTCCGCCAGCCGTGAGTTCATCACACA